TTGTGGTTGGAGAAGATCTTTTGCATGATTTCAACCTTTTAAAATTTATGGAGACTTGTTTTGTGGCCTAACATATGTTCTGTCCTGGAGAATATTTCATGTACATGTGAGAAGAATCTGCATTCTGCAGTTGTTGGATGAAATGGTCTATATATCTGTTAGGTCTAGTTGGCTTATAGCATTCTATTTCCTTACTAATTTTCTTCTTCTTGTTTTTTAATAGAGATGGGATCTCATTCTGTCACCCATGCTGGAGTACAGTGGCACAATCACAGCTCACTACAACAGCCTTGACTTCCTGGGCTCAAGGAATCCTCTCACCTTAGCCTTTTAGGTAGCTGGGATTACAGTCATGTGCCACCATGCCCAATTAATTTTTAAATTTTTTGTAGAGACAGTATCTCACTTTGTTACCCAGGCTGGTCTCAGATTTCTAGGCTTAAGTGATCCTCCTGCCTGTCTTCCCAAAGTGCTGGGATTTCCTTACTAATTTTCTGACAAGTTGTTCTGTCTATTATTAAAGTGGGTATTGGCTGGACACAGTGGCTCATGCCTGTAATACCAGCATTTTGGCTGAGGCAGGAGAATCAATCACTTAAGCCCAGGAGGTCAAGGCTACAGTGAACTATGATCACACCACTCCAGCCTAGGGAACAGAGCAAGACTCTGTCTCTAAAAATAAAATAAACAAAAGGAGGTAGTGAAGTCTCCAACTACCATTGTAGAATTCTTCCTTCAAATCTGTCAATGCTCTTGTCATGTATTTTGGGGATCCATTATTTGGTATGTATGTGTTCACAATTGTTTTATCTTCTGATAAACTGACCTCATTAACAATATATGACTTTCTCTTACTTGTAACAACTTTTTTTTTTTTAAAGAGACAGGGTCTTGCTATGTTCCCCAGCTAGAGTACTCCTGGGCTCAAGTAATCCTCCCACTTTAGCCTCCCAAGTAGCTAGGGCTGCAGGTATGCACCTCTGCACCCAGCTCCTCTTGTAACAATGTTTTTACTTAAGACTATTTTGTCTAATATTGGTATAGATACTTCAGTTCTCTTTTGGTTACTATTTGCATAGAATATCTTTTGCTACCCTTTTACTTTCAACCTATTTGTGTCCTTGGATCTAAAGTGAGACTCTTGTCGAATATAAGACACCTGGCATACACACACACATGCACACACACATGCATGCACAAGGAAAGGTGGAATATGTTAGAAAACAAAACGACATGAGAGAATATTACTAAAATTACTGTTAAAGGTAGAAGTTGGAAGTCTGTCTCATTAGACTTTTCATTTGTTTATAATTATAATTAACATTATAATTATAATTAAATACTGACATTGTTAGAGTAAATAATTTTTTTTGAGAGGGAGTTTCACTCTTGTCTGGGATTACAGGCACCAGCCACCATGCCTGGCTAATTTTTGTATTTTTAGTAGAGACAGGGTTTTACCATGTTGGCCAGACTGGTCTTGAACTCCTGACCTCAAGTCATTCACTCTCCTTAGCCTTCCAAAGTGCTGGGATTATATGCATAAGCCACCATGCCCAGCAGTTAGAGTAAATAATAAATTTAAACACAAAACACGATTATATTTTCCTAAATCTTGATTGCTTTTCTTCTGCTCACCTTATTGTAACAGTCTCTCAATGAGAAAACTGTTGGAGTTTTCTATTTTATTGATTGATTGATTGAGACAGGGTCTCACTCTGTCACCCAGGCTGGAGTGCAGTAGCACAATCTCAGCTCACTGTAACCTCGACCTTCCAGGCTCAGGTGATCCTCCCACCTCAGCCTCTCAAATAGCTGGGACCACAGGTGCATGCCATCACGCCTGGCTAATTTTTTTTTTTTTTTTTTTTTTTTTTGTAGAGATGGGGTTTTGTCACGTTGCTCAGGCTGATCCTGAAATCTTGAACTCAAGCAATCTGTCAGCCTTAGCCTCCCAACAGGTGTGAGCCACCACCATGCCCACCTGAGTTTTTGTTCGTTTTTTAATTTTTTTTTTTTTTTTTTAGAGACAGAGTCTCACTCTGTCATCGCCCAGACTGGAGTGCAGTGGTGCGATCTCAGCTCACTACAACCGCCACCTCCCAGGTTCTAGCCATTCTTCTGCCTCAGACTCCTGAGTAGCTGGGACTACAGGCACATGCCACTATGCCCAGCTAATTTTTTGTATTTTAATAGAGACAGGGTTTCACCATGTTTCCCAGGTTGGTCTTGAAGTCCTGGACTCAGGCAATCCACCCACCTCAGTCTCCCAGAGTGCTAGGATTACAGGTGTGAGCCACCGCACCCAGCCTTAAAATATTTGTTGTAATATTGAATTTTCTATCAAAACATTTAAGAATTGCAAATCAGAAAATAAACCAATTCAATTTTTAAAAAATAAATTAAGTGAGTCTCTTGTGGACACTTTTAAAAGTGCATTCTGGCCAGGTGTGGTGGCTCGCACTTGTAACCCCAGCACTTTGGGAGGCTGAGGCGGGTGGATCACCTGAAACCAGGAGTTCAAGACCAGCCTGGACAACGTGGCAAAATCTTCTCTCTACTAAAAATATAAAAATTAGCCAGGCGGGGTGGCATTCCAGCCTGGGTGACACAGCAAAACTCCATCTCAAAAATTAAAAAAAAAAAAAAGTGCCTCCTGGCCAGGTGTGGTGGCTCACACCTGTAACCCCAGCACTCTGGGAGGCCGAGGCAGGTGGATCACGAGGTCAGAAGATCGAGACTATCCTTGCTAACATGGTGAAACCCTGTCTCTACTAAAAACATAAAAAATTAGCCGGGTGGGGTGGCATGTGCCTGTAGTTCCAGCTCCTTGGGAGGCTAAGGCAGAAGAATCACTTGAACCAGGCAGGCAGAGGTTGCAGTGAACTGAGATGGCACCACTGCACTCTGGCTTGGGCAACAAAGTGAGACTCTGTCTCAAAAAAAAAAAACAAAACATCCTGAGGCCGGGCACAGGTTGTTCACTTGCCTTACAATGTTTTTAAGGAATGTTCTCTGCACAGCCACTTTTCTGCCCTGAGCAAGTTAAATTTAGGCAAAACAAAGGTAGGTACCTTGTGTCAGTCCTCCAAGCAGCCCACCAACAGATTAGAAAAGACAAAAATCTTTGAGGATAGAGTCTTCTCTGCTCCCTCTGGAACCAGGGACCAGGTTCCCACACTGAGAACATGGGCCGTCATCTTCAAAAGCACAACCAAGCCAGGGAGGCACGGTGGGGTAAGGGCGAGTAAAAAATGTTGCAAAGCTTTTCTGCCATTTTTAGGTTGCCTCTTTCTGGATTTAGCATTTTCCTAGTTTCTGCAAATCTTTGACTATTCTCCAGAGTTCTGACAATGCTGGTTCTGACAGTTTTTGCTTACTTTTTGGTGTTTCTGTGAATCAACAAGCCCTTTAGATTAGATAAATCATGTATCTAACACATGATTTAATTTTTACATTTAGATTTCTGATCCATATGGAGTTTGTCATGGTATATAGTATAGGTTCAATTTTAATTTTTGTCAAATGGCTATTCAATTATTCCCAGTCTATTTAGTAAATAGTCTTTCTAGCCGGGTGTGGTAGCTCATACCTGTAATCCCAGCACTTTGGGAGACCAAGGCAGGTGAATCATCTGAGGTCAGAAGTTCAAGACCAGCCTGGGCAACATGGCAAAACCCCATCTCTACTAAAAATACAAAAATTAGCCAGGTATGGTGGCAGATGCATGTAATCCCAGCTATTTGGGAGGCTGAGGCAGGGAGAATTGCTTCAACACCAAAGGCAGAGGTTGCAGTGAGCTGAGATTGTGCTGCTGCACTCTATCTAGCCTGGGCGACAGAGTGAGACTTTATCTCAAAAAAAAAAAAAAAAAAAAAAAAAAGTCTGTCACACCTGTAATGCCTGCACTTTGAGAGGCCAAGGCAGGAGGATCATTTGAGCCCAGGAGTTCCAGGCTGCAGTGAGCTAGGATTGCAAAGATTAAAACTAAAATGATGTTTTATAGAATGTTTTAAAATGTGGTAGGGCTAGTATTTGCTCATTGTTCTTCTTTTCAGGGTTTTCTTTACTTCTCTCTTTATCTCTCTCTCTCTGTCTCTCTCTCTCTCTCTCTCTCAGTAGAATCTTGCTCTGTCCACCCAGGCTGGAGTGCAGTGGCATGATCATAGCTCACTGTAGCCTTGAACTCCTGGGTTCAAGTGATCCTCCTACCGCAACATACCAAGTAGATGAGACTACAGGCACACAACATGATGCCTAGCTTTTGTTTTGTTTTCCAGAGAGATGGGGGGGATTTCACTCTGTTGCACAGGCTAGTCTTGAACTCCTGGCCTCAATAATCCTCCTGTCTCAGCCTCCCGAATCACTGGGATTATAAACGTGAGCCACTACACCCAGCGCATTCTTCACTGTTCTTGCTTATTTTTCAATGAAAATTTCAGAACTGATTTGTTTGATTTTTGAAAAACCATATTTTTATTGGTATCATGTTAAATTAATTACCTTAGAAAGGAGTGATATTTCTATGATGTTTAGTTGGCCTATGCAATTATCCTTTTCTTTTCTTTTCTTTTTTTTTTTTTTTTTTGAGATGGAGTCTCTGTCACCCAGGCTGGAGTGCAGTTGGCTCACTACAACCTCTGCCTCCCGGGCTCAAGCGATTCTCCCACCTTAGCCTCCCAAATGGCTGGAACTATAGAAACACACCACCATGTTCAGCTCATTGTTGTATTTTTTTTTTTCAGTAGAGACAGGGTTTCACCATGTTGGCCAGGCTAGTCTCAAACTCCTGACCTCAGGTGATCCACCTGTCTTGGCGTCCCAAAGTGCTGGGATAATAGGCATGAGCCACCGCATCCGGCCAGCAATTATACATTTTTAAGTGTATTTTCGTGTCTTTGTGGACTGCCTAACTCGCTTTTTAATTTATTACTTTCTTATATTCTAGGAAGCATTGGAATAGGAACAGAGAGAAAGGTACAAAACAAAAATATCCATACCTGCAGATGCCTGTGCCTGGGTATCAGTGTGGCGCTGGCAGACTCTACTCAAGAATTCACTCACTTGACGTAGGGAAAGGGCATTATGCAGTGTTTCCAGAGGGTAGATGGTAGGCACCATGGAACACCCTTCAAATCCTGTTTGAAAAGAGATGGGCAAAGTCAATGTTATTCCTGCCAGCTATACCCCAACTGGCCAAGGAAGCATGGAGAGTCCCTGAGAGCCATCAGGAGAGTCTGTGGCTTTTGGAGTGTGGGGTATCCAAGACTCTTAGGACAGGGAACTCTTTAGAGCCCCTAGGGGAGTCTGCTTTTCTCACCTCCAGATTTCCTAAAACATCTACCTGCTGAGGTCTCCAGGTGAATCAAATCACCTCTCATCCTACCTATGGAGAGCCTGCAATGTTCCATGAAAAAATCAACAGAATCCCAGTAGGGTAAGCACCAACATTGCTCTCATACTTTCTGGAGGAATAAAACAAGGATCCAGAGATAAGGAGTGAAACTGTAGATCTAATATGAGATAGGGAGCTGGGAAGAAACAGCAGATTTCAGGTATCATGAATAAGAGAACCGGATCAAGGAGAAGGACATGAAATCTGAGAAGGAGTTCATGCAAATTTAGGATATGGGTAGAAAGGCTAGAATACTTGGATGCAAACTGGAGGACATGCAATACACATGAAGCTCAGCCCAGGAAAACCACATGCATGAACAGGATGGGGATGGAAGTTCTTTCTTGGTAATTTCCATCACAGCAAAGCTTCACCCTTCTGATCTGCTAGAAAACCCCAGACTTGCTAGGATCTTTCTGCTGATTCTCTGCTCTAAACCCAAGAATTCCAATGTAGGTCTATCAATCTGGGTAGGGTCAAGGGTAAACAGAAATATGTAACCTGAATACTAGGGACTGGTGATGGAAAAAATGTCCCCATTCGAGGATCAAGAAACACACATTCCAACCACTTTCTCAGTCCCCAATCTTTCCTATGCCTCCTCAACATCTCCTTAAAGGGACTAAGGGTAGGCGGGACAACAATGTCTATGCAAGATAGCCTCCTTTTCACCAGTGACTAAAATCCATAACTCAAAAGGATTATATTTGACCATCTTCTAACTTCTGGCCTTTGTTTGCCCCAAGGATACAATTGAGGCCTCTGTGCTTCAATTTCCCCTGAGATCTAGTGGGAGGAGGGCAGGAGAGATACTGTCTCTAGCTCCTCAGGGTGGCTAGAAAAACATCTGGACTTGCAGCTGGTGGTAGTAGAGGGTTAGAGTGGTAAGAACAGATTCCAAGGCAAGACATTACTCCTGTATTGAACAGAATTGGGGAATGAGTAACATTAGGGGGTGGTGAGAAAGGAGAATAGGAAGGGGATGAGCAGCCAATGCTATAGCTACCAGGCAGTCCAGCCCCAATCCCATCCAAGCAACTAAATGCAAGTTACATAACCTTAAGGCAAATAGGAGAAAGAAACAGGTGGGCTCTCCTGCCAGAAGTGCAATAAGCAAAGCAGTCAGTCCCAGCCAGGGTAGTGGCAGCAGCCAGCTTGGTGGCAGGGGGTACCGTAGAGGCACTCGGGGTCATCCTGGCCTGAGCGCAGCCAGTTCCGGAAGAGGCGCAGGTGGTAGGAGCACTGGTGCAGGTGATGCGCCAGCGTGGCATCCAAGGAGACTGGCCGGCCCCCTGTACAGTCAGAGGAAAAACTGCGCAGCAACCGGACCACAGGGTGCTGGTCATCCAGCAGCTCTGGAGGGGGTGAGGGGACCACGGCAGGAAGCACAAAGATAGAGAAAGAGAAGAGGGAGAGACAATGAAGGGGGCACTGACTAGCACAAGCATTACTGGGAGGTGGGGGCACTCAGATCCAAGGTGAGCTAAGAGAGAAGCAGAGATGGTCAGAGCCACTGGGCATCTCTTGCAGGGAAGAAGAGTAGTGTCATCACACAATGAGTCTGAAAGAGGGGTAAGTGAGACCTCATCATATAGCAATGCCCTCCCCTTCCTCCTTGAGCATAAGTTAGTCGGTGCTTGTAGACAGCAGTCACATCATTGTGGACAGGGGTAAGCTGGCAGTTTTGTGGCTGGGAGCCTTGACTACAGCTTCAGGATCCCTCATCATTGGATAAACCCTACTTAGGGCCTGCATTATCAGGTGAATGGATTTATGAAGTAGGGCTAAAAATGAAAAAGTTCAAAGTTACTAAGAGAAAAGTATCAAGAATGATATCGGGTATCAAGATAGTCAAGCTAAGAGAAAAGAAAGAAATAATAATAATAATAATAATAAAGATAATCAAGCTAAAAAGGCTCCTTTTAAGGGCAGGCCTTCTGGACCAAACTCTAGGATAGCCAAAGACAGGGATGGTATTAGGCAGATAGCACAGGAGACTGGCAGGAAACCAAGTGTAGAACTCATTTAAAAGGGTACATGTAAAAAAATGGAATCAATATGTGAAAATACCAACATTGACTAACCATCCTCTACCTTACTCTTGTTTAAACAATTAGTTTTTAAAAAGTATAAAGTATACATAAAACTTAGGACTTAGGAGATACTGTATCCATTACAGAAGCTGAAAGTTAGATAATTTTATATTTTCTTCCCACTGCTGGTGAGTCTAACTGTACTTTTTTCAGCTGGTGAGTAAAAAAGCTTTGATTCTGAACCCCTCATTTTAGCTACGTGGCAAACTTTGTGGAAGCATGTAATTCAGCTACAAAAGGTTGAAGGCAGCCAAAGCCACGTGGAGAGGGCTATAAGAGGAACAATAGGGAAAGATCTTACAGAAAAGTTATGGGATCTTAAAACATGATGTGAGGATGGACAAGAACTTGAACACAGGATGTTGGTATAGAGAAGGCAGAATCAAGGCAGCTGAGGATGACTGCTCCAAACTCCAGAAGTGGCTTCACAAGGTGATCCCATGTGGTCAGAGACCTTAGCTTGGATTTCAGGAGAGACTTCAGCTGTACCTAAGCTAGTCTTGAGAGCACTAACTGTATGTATCAATGGTCACAAAGTTATATTGGTTCCTAAAAGATAATGGGCTTGACAAATCTAGTGCGCATACACTGACATTCTGGATGAGGGTGAGCCATAGTCTTTCCCACTTTGTTAATTTACTTTGGTGAGTTCAACGTGCAGTTTAGTAACAGGTTACACTGGTGTGCTGGATATAGTCACAGCTCATCAGAACAGAGGCAGGGATAGGAGGAGGGCAGCTCTCTCATCAAAGTGTGGAGACACACTGCGTTGCCTCCTTTCCAAAGCCAGGTCCAGTATTTCCAGCTGCTGTTTCAAAGCCAAATATCATGGCAAGGAGACGGTGATGATGGACCTGCTTGACTAATCTGCCAAAAGCAACTACAGACAAAACATCCACTTTATAATTGCTGGTCAGTCAACCAAGATCTTGGCCATGGAGGAATACCTTCATATTTCTTGAGGGTCAAACTGAATCTAGATAATCTTCCTTAGCAAGTGACATACAACTCCAAATTTCTCCTGTTGTCAACAGGTAGAGCCCAGATTCTTGCTTCTTAAGCATGTTAGCCTCCAAGCTCCAGCACCAGAAAAACAAAGGAGGCCAGAAGACCCCCAGGGAAGTGTGCAGGGTACTAGAGATCTTAAATTTGTTTTCCTGCACAATACCTGCATTTTGCAGGTAATTTTTCCTCTCCTCCTTTTGGCAGAATTAATTCTTCTTCAACAGGTGAGGCTGCTAAACAAGGCTTCAGGGAACTGGAGATACATAGGTCTGAAGATTTGTTTTATGGATTTGGGTCTTTTCTTATGGCACCTAAGAACTAGGAGATCCGTGATTTGCTCTGATTTCAGGAGCCCATGTTCCTCATACTATACTGTGGACTCTAAGTCCAAGTTCCAGGCTGTGCTACTGATGCATCAGGTTGTATTCTCAAGATGGCTGTGGCACATGAAGGCCAAAAGAACTTGAAGCTAAATGAACAGGCACATCCATGATGCTCTGAATGGGGACTCCTGCCACAGGCACAAATGGGAGCCTGGGGGCAGGGATAAACTGAGCCAGCATAGACTGGTCAACCTAGGGAGAGATTTGAGCAGTGCCTCATGAGATGTACAACCTGACTGGGCTAAAACCTAGCAGCTGCCACTTGCTAGACAATAGGAGATTAGCACATAGAGGTTTTCTAGTCAGGAAGCCAGCCTAATTTTACTTCCCTTAGAGAGTCTTAGCTCTCGAATAGAAGAAAACCATATCTAAAAAAAAACCTAGATTTGCCTTGAAGACAAAATACAATACAGAGAGAAAACAACTAAGGATACCAAAGATAAAACTTTGAAAGAGAGTGAGCCTGGGTTCTCCTGCTATACCTTACAAAGTGACCATACCCTTCAGTTCATGCTTTATAGAGATCTCCAAACTCTCCCACCTTAGTGTGGGCAGACCCAGTTCTTCAATGTTCTTAAAATATTATTCATTCCTAAGCTCCCCCAGCATCCCCAGCAGACATCTCAACTCTTCAAGCTTCTCTGTGATAGCTTTACCATAGGTAGGCTGGTGCCACATGGAACTACATTTTAAAAACTCAAGGTACAAACTTTTTCTTTTACCTACTACCTCCTACTCCTTTCTTTTTATTTGTGTATCCCAAAGCAACCTGGGCTCTTGTTCTTGAGGCCCAGGCACTAGGTTAGTAGTAACATAAAGCAAATGTCAGGAGCACAAGAGCCACATAAAATACAAACAATGGCAGGAGAAATAAATATGGAGATGGGAAACTACATACTCAAGACCAACACCCTTATAAGTAGGCTTAGGAGCTGGGAATTGCAGCATTGCTCCAAAGAGGAACAAACTAGTCATCCACATCCACCCCAACAAAAGAGTTGGAGAAAAACCAGAAAGATCAAAATTATATAAGCTGAGGAGTTAGGGGTATGAGGGAAGAAAATAAATGGAATCAATCTAGGAAACACTATTTCCATCCTAAGAAGGGGAACCATCATATCTGTACACAGCCTGGCAGTCATGTGATAGGAAAGGGAGAGGTTTAATCAGTGTTTTGGTGGTGATGCTGACAAAAGCGGCATAATGGTGATGACAGTGATTATGGAAGTAAGACCCTGAGTTGCCACAGGGATGGGGCAGCCAGGCTACAGCCAAGATTAAGGCTGTCACAAGGAAACCATCCCAGGAGGGACACTTAGTGAGTGGCTCATTCAGAGACAGTAGGGTATCAACACAGTGAAAGGAGAGGCAAAGTCAGTGTCAAAACTCAGTTAAGTGTCTACAGGTGACATGGTGAGGAGGAATGACATTGAGTCAGAAGCAAACGTACCGTTAGTCGGATGCTTTGCAAACGACACAGAAAATCGTTTTACGGCCGGGACAAACAAGAGCTCTGGGGAGAAAAGACATCATGGGGATTATACCCACCCTTGTCCCCACCCTCTGCTCTGGAGTTCGCCCACAAGATATTCTGTTCTTTAAAGTTATTTATCTGATCTGCTCCCCTCCCGACCCCTTGGATTTCTAACTAACACGTCAATCTCTTTTCCTTTGGTAATCTCCTAGGAATCTACGTGTCATCTCTACCACAATACACTTCTACAAACAACCCTAATTTTACCACTATGTCCTCTTTCTGGTCATTCAGAAATAAAATCTTCATAGAAATATTCATCCCTTCCCCCAGACTCTTTCCATATTATCTTTTCTGCTTTAGCTGAGCAATATTCCCTTCCCTAAACCCAATTTGCTGGTTTTAATCGAGGTTCCACTACATTCTTCCTAACCATGCATCATCCTCTTTGGTCCTTAACCCTACAGGCCAGAATCCAGGAAAGAGTACAGACTGATGCAGCAGGACTGTATGTGGGAGATTATGAAGGGATAAGCATAAATAAGTAGTATTTTTATGGCAAGAGGGAATGCAAATGGAGGGGTGGAAGGGGTCCTGGTTCCTTCTCTCATCTACTACTGATGAAGAAAACTTGTTATAAGGTCAGTGTCATCTTTAAGCATGAATGGTTCTTGAGCTACGTCCCTGCTGAGAGACAAGTGAAGAAAGGAGTTATCCCCCAAAACCCACCCACATACCATCTCGGTGCTTCAGACTGGCAGGTGGTAGCTTTTTGCCATGGCTGCGGGCGTAGTCCTGAAGATTCGGGGCGCTGGAGGAGCCACCCAGCACTGTGGTGCTGAACAGCCCTGTGCACTGTGAGCCTGCAAGGCCGGGAGGGCATTAGTAGCCACATAAAGCTGCAACTATCATACATAAGTATACACAACTTCACATGACAACATCAAGACACACACACAGCTATTCACAGCCACCACCATGTGGATATTCCACATAACCACAAATGGCTTTATACTTGTCCATAGTCACAGTGGGCAAGAAAAAGGGGGATTCTTCTGAAGAGCTACATGGCAGAGACAAGAGGCCACTACAAATGCAGGGTTAGTCATATTAGGGGATTCAAAGCTACTGAAAGGGATAGACTGCTCTCCAGGTGGCTCTCAGAAATGTTAAAATAATAGCTCCCTCTAGATTCCCTCTAGATTTAATTCAGCACCCTTACCCTGGATATATGGCTTGAGAAACCCAGAAATCTAGTCCTTGTAGATTTGAAAGGAAAAGGCTTTGACTGAAACTAGAGACTGGGTTCTGAGCATTCACCTGGCACCCTTCCAATCCTTCCTAAGTTATTTATCCAACATCCCCTCCCTTCAGGCCTTTTTACCTTTCCCAAGAATGAAAGTATAAGACTCACTTTTTTTTTTTTTTTTTTTTTTTTTTAGACAGAGTCTCACTCTCTTGCCCAGGCTGGAGTGTAGTAGCACAATCATAGCTCATTGCAACCTTGGTCTCCCAGGCTCAAGTGATCCTCTCACCTCAGCCTCCTGAGTAGCTTGGATCACAAGCACACACCACCATGCCTGGACAATTTTTTTATTTTTTAGTAGAAACGACGTCTCACTATGTTGCCCAGGATGGACTCTAACTCCTGAGTTCAAGTGATCCTCCCACCTTGGCCTCCCATAGTGCTGGGATAATAGGTGTGAGCCACAGCCCCCTACCTCATTGAAATTTTTAAGCTAGAAGGGACTCAGATCATGCAGTCCAACTTTCTTATTTTAGAGATGAAGAAACTGAGATCCAAAAGGGACGTCCTTTGCTTAAAGTCACACAGTCTGTTAGAGGCTAAGCTGGAGTAGAATCCAGGTTTCCTGACTCTGAAAACCAACTGTATTGTTAGAAAGTAAATAACTATTTTTTAGGAACCAGCACAGTTTCTGAAGTCAAGATGGATGCAAATTGAAGGGCATGTGAAGAGTAAGTTGATTATATGTAGAGCACGCCTATTATGTGATGAGCACCTACTAAGAAGGAATACGGGAAACAACAACAAAAAGACATGTTTTTTTTTTTCTTATCGTCTTGTAAGCCTATGCTCAAAGCCAGTTCCCCACACATATAAATTCAAAGAAAGCAAAAAGAACTCCATTGCCAATGAAAGGATTAAATAAAATTTGAATAATCACTGAAGGAAATAAATCATACCCAACAGCTGATCTAGAGGAGGGTTAGGACTCCATGGTCCCTTTTCCTACTACAGCCTATAAAGACAGAGTGGTCAAGAATAAAGAATAAAAAAGACTGACACCCAAGTTCTCTGGATTTGCCCCTCTACTTCCAAATCCATCTTAGCCAAGACCCCAGGTTTGGTTTGGGACTTAACATTCATAGGGGAAATGGATAGAGTGGAAAGGAGGTCAATTCTCCTTGAGACCACAAAGAAAGGACCATGATTTCAGGGTCCCAGGATTTCAGGGTCACCAGAGCAATCAGGAAGTGCAGACAGCTGATGATTTCCATGCTGGAATTCAGGTCCTCTCCTCTATAAAGCAACTTCCTCTGCCTTTCATGCTCAAACAGGCTCTGGAATGAGATTCCAGAGAGTAATAACAGTTGCTAAATATGACTGCTTTTCTTCAGAGAAGCTAAAACTAGCTGGCTGTATCCCAGACCACCCCAAGCTTTGTCCTACATACACTTCCTCCACTGAATACTTTTCTGGTGCAGTCGTGCCAACTCTGTTCTGCCCAGTCCTCAGATCACCTCAGAGGGTGGTCTCTACCTTACCACTACCATCTGTCAACCAGTTCCATGTCCATACTTCTGCCTTGTTCTTGAAAGCATTCCCATGGCCCACTTAACTGGCCCAGACACACCTATCCTCATTTCTAGTCTATCTGATACCTAGACACACCTATCCTCGTTTCTAGTATATCTGAAATCTGTTCTTTACTGGGACTTCTGGGAAGAGAGGTCCATGTCACGGATCTACACTACCTTTTTTTTTTTTTTTTTTTTTTTGAGGCAGAGTCTCACCTAGGCTGGAATACAGTGGTGCAATCTCAGCTCACTGCAACCTCTATCTTCCAGGTTCAAGCAATTCTCGTGCCTCAACCTCCCACGTAGCTGGGATTATAAGGCATGTACCACCGTGTTGGCCAATTTTTGTATTTTTAGTAGAGATGGGGTTTCATTCTGTTGGCCAGGCTAGTCTCGAACTCCTGACCTCACTCAAGTGATCTGCCTGCCTCGGCCTCCCAAAGTACTGGGATTATAGGTGTGAGCCACTTCGCCTGGCCGGATCTACACATCTGTCATTTATTTCTCATGACCCAAACCATCTTCCTCATTTCAGGAATCTAGAAGGCAACTTATTCTCATAAAATTAGCCTAGAAATTTCTCATAAAATTTCTCTTTCCCTTGTTGGTCCAAAACCTGATCATTTTGGGGCCAAGAAATTGGGTCCCAAGGACAAAGGCAACAGAAAAAATTAGAGGCGCTAAATAGAATAATAGGACAAGATACAAATAGCCGGGGGGACCAAGTCCAGACCCCACACAATCATCTCTGACCTCTGGTTCTAGTTACTGGCTCACAAGGCACTGTGCTCAGAGATAGCTCCTCCCAAGGACTTCCCCCCTCTACCCAAAGAATACAATACCCTCTGAGGCCTGATCCTTCCTGCTGTCTGTGTTCTTATCAAATGCTGAATGATGTTCTCTACCCCTTTCCAGGGATTAAAAAATCAAGAGATATTTCCTCAAAGTCCCGAGAGATGTCTCTGCCACTACACCAGTCTCAGAAGGAAGGGGAAAAAGTTACAGGATTAGGAGATGATGGAGGAAAGGACAAGGTGGTAGGAAGGGCAAGAGCAGGAATGTGAAAAACACAGGTTTCAGGGGAAGACATGGCACAATTCTTCAAATGAGGAATATGATATTTATGAAGGTTGCAAGTACCTCTGTTTATAGCTCTGTCCCTGATAACTCTGAAGGTTCAGAGTCTCCATGGCCCCTTAAGGTCTGGGCTAGACTGGAGGGACAGATAAGGAATGAGAGGGAAAGCCAAAAAAAATGCCCTTTGACCAGGAAAATGTCGTTGGTATAGAAAACCAAGAGATAAACACCTTTCTGGGATGGAACTTATCTGAGATCCAAGTTCACATCTAACTATGGATGATCCCACTTCATCCTCCCTACCCCCCACCCCACCCCATATTCCACTGACTGGATGGTCCCAAATCCCACGACAAAGGTTTCCCACAATAAAACTCTGAAGAACAGACAGACAATTTTTCCAAAAATCGATGAGAAATGCTGAAGAAAACCATACCTAGGCCACTCTGCTTCATTTCTGTGGGTGGCCGTGAAGCTGAAAAAAGCCGGTAGCCACCAGGCCTTGAGGATGAAGTCTCAGAAAGTACCTGCAGAAAAAGGACTCCATATTAATCATTTTGCCACCTCAACCCAGAAGTATAAAGCCCAGGTCCTGAATTCTTGCCCCTATGAAGCCAAGCAATGTCAGAAAGTTTGGAAGAACCAAAGGATTTATGGGGAAGAGGGATGAAAGGGAAATAGAGAACATACTTTTACGGAGGGAACTATCCAGGGAATCCTTCTATACTAGAAAACATTTCTATTTTCAAGATACCTGTCCCGACAGCCCTCCCATTCCCAATCTGAGTTTGAGAAATAATTATTCAACCATTCCTAGTTCTCAGCAGAGTGGAGGTTCCTAATTGTGTCTATCCCCCAACCAGACTCAGAAAGCCAATCACAATGGCTCAGCCACAAATAAGAAAGTCTGGCCACGTGGCTGACGCCTGTAATCCCAGCACTTTGGGAGGCCAAGGCGGGTGGATCACAAGATCAAGAGATCGAGACTATTCTGGTCAACACGGTGAAACCCGTCTCTACTAAAAATACAAAAAATTAGCTGGGCATGGTGGCGCACGCCTGTAGTCCCAGCTACTTGGGAAGCTGAGGCAGGAGAATTGCCTGAACCCAGGAGGTGGAGGCTGCGGTGAGCCGAGATCGCACCATTGCACTCCAGCCTGGGTAACAAGAGCAAAACTCCGTCTCAAAAAAAAAAAAAAAAGAAAGTCTGGCCACTCTCTCTTCTTTCTGTGGGACAGTTGTGGCTACTGTAACCATATTACATACTATATTACATTTCTTATTTGAATCAAGAAGGAAGCCCTCCTCTCCAACTATCTCACTCCTAGAAACATGAAATAGAATTCTTAAAATGCCCACAAGGGCCCAATCACACAACTCCCAACACACACTCATCCCACCTAGAGTTTCTAGATCCCAAAAAGCAAAACAGGAAGGTGAGGTAGGGAGGGACACCTGTGTGCAGGACGCCAGGTGAGTGGTGGACACAGCCCAGGGCTGTAGGCTGATGGCTGGGGAAGGCCGGGGGAGGTCTCCTGACCTCCTGCGGCGCCGTCCCCGCAAGGGGATCAGGTCCAGGTTCCCCGTGCACTGCATGTTCATGACCTGCAATTAGACCGGGTGAAAAGCCGGTCACAGCTCCTTTAAACCCCAGGCTCCCAGAAGCCCCAGTGCCCATAGAGCAGAGCTAATTACAGGGCTAGAGAGGATGACCAGCTAGGGTATAGATGCTATGAAGGTCATAGGTTTTATAATCTAAAATAGTTAAAAAATATGAGATAACAAGAGAAAAGAAGGGATGGGGATAGGATGTAGTTGATAAGGATAAGATGGCCCAATGCCTATATTTATAGAGCAAGAAAGAGAAATATTAATATTAGTACTATAAGGCTTTGTGACCAAGGAGCAGACAGATGATTTTCTTAAAAAGCTGAGGAAAATATCCTGGACAACTACCACCGTGGATAAGCCAAAGTCTAAGCAGTACTGTAACTGAAAAGAAGGAATGTGATTACAATAGGAAAATTCCTATAGACCTAAAAGAAAGAAGTCAATCTTATCAAGTCTGAGAGATGATACACAGAGAGCTCTCCTTTGCCTGTGTCTTCCTTTTTTAAATTTTTAAAAAATTTTTGTAGAGACAAGATCTTGCCCAGGCTGGTTTCGAACTCTTGGCCTCCTCCCACTTAGGCCTCCAAAAGTGTTGGGATTACAGGTGTGATCCACCATACCCAGATGCCTATGTCTTATGACTGTGTAAACCAGAAAAAGGGGCTTCAAGCACAACAGCCCTAGGAGAGACTAGCAGACCATGTGAATAGGAAAGACATTTGGAGGAGCAGTTGATTGATGGAAGAATTATGTGTCATTCTATCCACACGAGTATATGAGTATAAAGGGTAATAGAGTACTACAGATACCAACACCACAAGGAGAAAATAATGCATATCCTACCTAAAGAAACTCTGTATATTACCAATGTCAACTTCACCTTAAAATAATCCAGAAGTAAAGAGTGAATCAAAAGAAGAGACTGCAGTTTATCTTCTCAGCTTTCTCCAAAATCTGAATTGCAAACCTTTTGCTGAACTAGATAAGCTAGTTATAGATTGTTCTGATATATCCCTAAAATGGAAAAACCAATTCCTCTAAGATAGAGACGTGGCACAGAGCCAGGTGATCAGAGTCTTCAGGTCAGAGTAGAATCCAAATCAGACAGTCAAAGTCTCTGAAACAGGGATAAATTGTGGTGTCAAAAAGAATGAAAGTGATACAGAAGGAACTGGATAGGGGGGGAAAAAAAGGATGTAATTGGGCCAAAGACAGAAACAGTTCTTCCAGGAAAATGACCAAAACAAAAACTTCAGCTGGTTAGCTGGACATAATATGAGATTATTAACACTTCCTTCCTCTAAGCTAGAGAACTAGAACCAGAACTAGAGACAAACTCCAAAAGCAACAAAACACAGGCTCATGCTGACAAAGATCCTCATTAGAACTAGAGGAAGACAGACAGAGCTCTGGACTGACCCACTTTCTGGAACAACAGTACAGATAAAGTGCCAGGTATTTGCTCCTCTCTGAGCTATAATGTTTACCCAAGGTGACGAACAGCTGGAGAGGGCCAATTTAATATCAATTGTATTGTTATTATATTACTGTTTGTTGAGCATCCATAAGGGCGATACTACTCACATTTTACAGGTGAAAAAAAATTGAGGTTTAGGGAAGTTAAAGCCAGAGAAGTGTAGAGAAGTTACCCAGTCAAAGTCACACAGCTTCCAAGTATCCGACTGGGATTTTAGCCCAGAGTTTATGCTTTTTCTACTAGATTTCCTCTTAAAGAACACTACCTTTTCAAATTCATCCAGAAGCCTCCTCTTTAATCTTATCTCTTTAAACCCTTATCTCTCAGGCACCCTTCAATGGCAACTCTTTAATCTGAGAAGTGGCAACCAGGTTAAAAGAAGCTCTATTGGGAGACCAGCTGTGAAAGAGAGATTAAGTAAAACATCAATGAGAGCAGGAGGACTCTGCTTCAAGTTCCAAGAGTCCCCACCAAGGGGATCTAGAGGATCCATGAATATAGTCCTGTGATCACTTTTACCCCTTCATTTTTTCCCAAGGCCCTCTCATTACCTCCATGGAACCAGCTTTTCGGTTACGAATGAGGGGTGATCTCCTCGGGAGGCCAGGGCCCTCAGGAGGCTGGGGTGAAGTCTGCAATGCCCGGTCTGGCTCATCTGATGCCTTTCCTGGGCACAAGTTCTCCATACTGCCTTGGTTGGTTTTCAGCTCCTCATTCTATACAATATGAAGGCAGATAAGAGAGGTGTTAATGATCTCCAGGCTCCTATTCCCAGACTACCCAACCCTTTTACTTCTCCCTGTACCGTTTCCCACCACTTGGTTCCTAAGTCCTTGAGTCCCAAATCCCAGCACTCTGACCCACCTCAGAAGAGGCTGGACGGAATCCACAGCCAGCTGGGGCACTGCCTTCTTCCTCAACACCTTTCACTCCAGGGCTGAAGTGTAGCTCCACATGGAACCGTTCCTCTGATAAGGGATCCTACGGGGCATCACCACAAGAGGGGGAAGTTGGGAGAAGCTGGATATTGTGGTGGAAGTAGAGAGAAACTCAAGAGGATTCATCCTCCCAGGAATTCAGGGTCTTGAACTACTCTAGGGCTGACCTGTTATAGCTTCCTTTTAACTATATATTATCTCTTACAGGATCCTCATTCCCTCATCTCTACCATTTGTGATTTTGCCATGTGACTTTTGAACTTCCAGCTTTATAACCCTTCCCATTACCTTCCACAATAACTCAGCTTGGCTATGGTGGATACAGCAGAACACTTAAAGATATCTTATGGGCCGGGAGCAGTGGCTTATGCCTGTAATTCTAACACTTTGGGAGGCTGGGGCAGGTGAATCACTTGAGTCCAGGAGTTTGAGACCAGCCTGGGCAACATGTTGAGACCCCATCTCTACAAAAAATACAAAAAATTAGCTGCACATGGTGGCATATGTCTGTCATCCCAGCTATTCAGGAGGCTGAGGTGAGAGGATCACTTGAGCCCAGGAGGCAGAGGTTGTGAGGTTGCAGTGAGCTCAGACTGCTGCACTGCACTCCATTCTGGGTGACGGAGTGAGACCTTGTCTCAAAAAAAAAAAAAAAAAAAAAGGTATCGTTGTGGAGCCGTATGCAGAAGACATATGTATACCACCATGTTTGAGGAAATAAGACTCATAACATTGTCCCAAATTCCATACTCTTCCTAATGCCAGAGCTGTGTTCTAGATTATCTCTCTGCTCAACACCATCCCAGAACATATTTCCCATTCCAGTAGCAACCTCCTGGATGCTCTGCATCATGCTGTTCCTAAGTGCCACACCCAGCTCAATTCTCCAAATTATAAGGATAAGCGAGGGTTTTTTTTTTTGTTTTTTAATAGCGGTAAAAAGAAGGAGTGTTCCTCTCATCTCCTCACCTGTGTGTTGTCCTCATAAAGCATGATGACAATCTGCGTCATGTAGTTAAGCTCTGAGATTGCACTAAGATAATCCAAAGCTCGCTGCCATTGTGCATCCTGGGTCTCCTACCAAATGCAAAAACAAGTAAGCCATTGCTTAAGGACAAGGGAGTCAGGGAATAAGCAGGGGGCCAATGAGAATGGAGAAAGCTTTCATTAAAAAAGCATGAGGAGAAGAGCAAAACAATGCTGGGATAAAGCTGTTCACAGGCCAAGGAAGAAAGAGGATCCTTACATCAAGAAGACCCCCATAACGGAAGACACTGAGTAGGGAGTGGACGTGGCTCTCACTGGTGAAATAGAGACGTGTTCGAACATGGCGACCTGGGGAGAGCACACCTCGGGAGTACCTGAGATAATAGTTAAATCACTCACACAGTCAGTTAACCCTCTTCTCACCCTTTTGCAAACTCCCTCCTCCCACCTCAAAGACTTCTCTCCTTTCCATCCCAAAATCTTGTCTATTCTTGGTTCGTCAAGCTGTCCCAGGCTTGATTTCCCCAAGGCTCCCTGACATGCCCCTCCCTCCATCCAGCACCCCTCCCAGCCCTCCCTCACAGGGGATGCAGCTTGTTGACAGACTCATCTTCGTGGGTTCTCTGCAGGTCAAGTAGTATCTTCCGCAACAGTGGAAGACAGAAGCCCACAGCAATTTCCAGTTTCTCTTCCCGACTGATCCCGTACTCCTAGGAGCCATAGGCCAGGAATAAATACCTCAGTAAATCTTTTTTTCTCATGCCTCATATTCCAGGACCAAGATCATGCCCGTCATCACCTCAGGTCTAGGGCTTCTTTCATATCCACTATATTCCCCCTCTTCCAGGTGTCTCCTGAATTAGCCTCCTGTACTTACCAAGAGCCAGAGTGGACCCTGAGAAATGTAGCAACTCAACTTATATCTTCTCTAAGTTTCTTTCCTCTAGTCCCAAATCAACCTTCCTTTCCACCTTTTCTCTCTTTCCTTCCCGAACACCCTCATCCCCAAGCTAGGTCCCTTATACAAGACACACCTGGGGAATGACCACATCAGCCAATGCCTTAGAGAGACGGAGCAACTCTGCTGTGCCTTGAAGTCCCAGACTCCCATTGTGCTGCACATCATACTTGACACAGTCATAGATGTCAGGGATTTTACTGATATCATAGCGCCCACTCTTCTGTCGAAAGTCACGCTCCAGTTTGCTCCAACGCTGTAGCATTAGTTCTAGTGTTTCACTGTGGTAGAGCTGCAGGTCTGGAAGAAAGGCAGCAATCAGATAAGAATCAAAGATTTTACCTCAAAAGACCCTGACAACTCTGAAGCAGAACCAGAGGGATGAGGAGGCCTGGTCTCTGACATTTAGGAGATGACACAAGAATGCCTGAGAAACCCATCCATACCTGAGAACTTGAAGGGAAGATAGTAGTATTCACACCCACCTACAGACCTGGGGTCCTGCATTCGTTCTCGGATCTGGTGTGTGAGGTTTTCGATCAGGGCAAATACCTGATCACAGACCTTCACAGGATTCTGGATGATAGTCATGGAGTTGAGCAGGGAAGTACTTCTGGTGGGAGCCAGCTATGAAGAATAGAGAGAAGAAAAGCAAGATAGGCTCAGAACTAATGGCCCAGATTTCCTGTGAGCGTATTACAGAGAGACTACCTGCAATACAGATCTGTATGTTAATTCACTCCAGTGAGCATTCTTAGGTTACTGGGCATACTAGCATTTCTAGGCCTTCAGGTAAGGGGGCTGCTCTAGCACATAGTCATGTAAGAGGGATTGAATTAAAAGGTCCAGAGAAAATAAAATAGTCCTAAGTTCTTTTCTTGAGGGCTCTAGAATACACATGGAAAATACTGCAGAATAATTAAACCAAAATCCCTCAAAATCTCCACAGAATGTTTTCATGAGTAGAGATCAGAGATAACATTATCTTCTTCCTCTAAACAACAAGCTAGCCTGAGCCTAGAGTAGAAATGCTGTCTCAGAACTGGGTTCCAACTCAGGCTTTTAGGACAGTCACAGTCAATGAGAAATGGGGAGAGAGAATAAAGATTGTGGCTGAAATGCACAATTCTATGTAGGTCCTCGCAAGTTTCATTTTTGCTCGCAAAAGAAGGCAAGGCAGAAAAGGAAAACTGCCTTAGCTTTTTTGAGTTTTGACAGTGAACAATCGAAAATAAAGGAGCCAAGTCCTGTTCCTTATCAAGTCCTACTCAGATTTGAAAATGGAAGGGAAACACAGAAATGCAGGCCGGGTGCAGTGGCTCACGCCTATAATCTCAGCACTTTGGGAGGCCGAGATGGGTGCATCACAAGGTCAAGAGATCGAGACCATCCTGCTCAATGTGGTGAAACCCCGTCTCTACTAAAAATACAAAAGTTAGCTGGGCATGGTGGCGCACGCCTGTAGTCTCAGCTACTCGGGAGGCTGAGGCAGGAGAATTGCTTGAACCCAGGAGATGGAGGTTGTGGTGAGCCGAGATTGTGCCATTGCACTACAGCCTGGGTAACAAGAGAGAAACTCCGTCTCAAAAACAAAAACAAAACAAAACAAACAAACAAAAAAGAAACACAGAAATGCTATGGGCTCATAGCAATGTGCTTAGCTACTTAGCTCATTTAAGAACCAATCAGAAATATTACACAACAAATGCATGTGATGCTACTGAACTGTACACTTAAAAATGGTTAAAGTGGTACCATAATTTTAAATTTTTAAACATTTTTTAAAAGAACCTATCAGAAATGAGGAGTGGGAAAAGTAGAAAACCACTGCCTGGTCAATTGTAGCCTGAATACACAGGAAAAAGAATGACCATATTGGAAAATGGCATATACTAGGATTAATACTGTAAGGCAATGTAACAGCCTAGGCTTTGGAGTTAGACTCCTTGGGTTCATATTAGCTGGATGACCTAGGAAAATTGCTTAGATTCTTCTGAGCCTAGGTTTCCTCATTTGTAAAACGGAAGGAAAGTCCTTGTGGTGTCTGCAGTCCTCATAGTGGTTTAAAGATGACCATCAATTCTTTGTCTTCCTTGTCTTCCCTTAAATCTGGCTGGCCCTGTGACTGCTTAACCAATAAAAAAATAACAAAGTTACATTGCGCTAATTCTGAGCCTACACTTTAAGAAAGCTTCTAAGCTTCCGCTTTCGCATAACCCTAAAGCTACCATTTAATACGTCGTCCAGCTATCATGCTATAGAAACCATGTGAAGAACCACTTGGAGAGGAGAGGCACTGAGATTACAGGGAGAGCATAAAGAGGGAGAGAGTCAGCCATCCCACAATCCCAGCTGAACTTCCAGATGGTTCCAGTTCTAGTCAATATCTGACTGCAATTTCAGGAGAGACTCTAAGCAGGATCAGTTGAGCCCAGAACTGTGGAAGATAATAAAATGGTTGTCGTTTTAGGTTACTATGTTTTGGGGTAGTTTCTTATGCAGCAATGGATAACTGAAACTTTTTTTGTTCAGGATCCTTGGGATCAGCTGTACTTTGGAATTGAAAATTTTTTTGGACTTTAGAATACAGTACATATGCCATAGGTATATAGTATCTCCACCAGGGCATATGGCATAACCAAACACATTAATATTTCTGCCACAAAATACATGACTATTTACACTAAGTGGGAAAAATCAGGATTATAAAAATCTTACTACAGTATTTGTCAGGTTTAGCTGCCAAATAAATCTTAATGTCAACAAAAAAAATCTTTTTAATTTTTAAAATTGTGGATTAGAGATTGTGGACCTGTACTTACCTCAAAGGGCTACTGTAAGGACTAAAAGAGATATATGTGTAAAACAACTAAAACAGTGCCTGGCATGCAGTAAATACTATTATTATTGATCTTGATCCCTACTATATAGAATTCAAGGAATTTGAGACCCAGGATATTTTAGACTCTGACCTGATCGTAGTCCTCAGGGCCAAAGGGTGCATCCTGCTGTAAAATATGGTGCAGCCGAGCCTTTACCCGGTGCTGACAGCTGCTCAAGGAATCCCCATCGCTGTCCAGGAGCCCATTCATGTTGGCACTCTTCACCATTTGTACCAAAATGGGTGTCAGCTCCCCTTCTAGAGCCAGAAGGCCCTAAAGGGAAAGCACAAAGTCTATTTGTTTCCCTTCCAGGTTAGTATTCTTAGACCTAGATGGTCCCATTCAGAGACTGAATGGGAGCTGGTTGAATAGATAGGGCCTACCCTCACTAATTATTTTCAGCTCATTCTCAGTAGTATGGAATGGGTCTGATACATGCAGAAATTTCTCTGAGTTGGCCTACAAGCACCCTGAAATCCTCAACTGGTTCTCCAAACTCTCTGCTTCTCTACCTAATGGAAGCTGGGACTATAGCACTGTAGCATGCACCTTGGCAAAGGCAGCAGCAGTCATCTGGACACGACCCTCATCAGAGGCATAGATCTTGAGATCATGGCGGAAAGTGCTATGGAGACGAAGCAGCCCACAACCAGGGAAGCCAGCATAGTCACCTGGGGACAAAGGTGAGGACCAGGAATGGACTGCTATAAATATTCATGTGGAAGAAAAAATACTAATTTCCCCACTGTCTCTGTCCCTTCATTTCCCCCAATTAACTCTCTAATCATTTTATCCCAGCCCTGCTAAGTGTTTACCCCTCAAAACACTCACCCTGTCCTCCAGGGTACATGCAGCGAAAAGCCCGCCCCAGCTCCTCAGCCTGAACACGACCAGCAGGAGTCAGTTCTCCACCCCACTTCAGTACCAGCAAAAGAGATGGGGCCACAGCCTCCCTTTGTGGATCTGAGGAATAAGAGGCAGTGAATGGTCTAGATCTAAGAAAAATAGTGGAAATATCTAAATGTTAAGTCTTCTGAGGAGACCAGAAAGGTAATTAAGGGTAGAGGTCATCTATAGGCTCAAGTAAAAGGGATCTGGTAAGGAGAGAAGATGGAAAAAAAATTAAAAGAACACAAGATTTGAGAGGTAATGGTAAAGGGGACTATATCTTACCTTGTCCCTCATTAGAAGCTTTTACTCCATGAGGGTAGTAAGTCAATTGCACCTTCCGGTTTATACCTGAGAAGTGACCATACCTGCAAGATAAAGTCACAGTTGATTTTCTGTACCAGCACCCCAATTCTCACTGTTATTGGCTCCCTTTAGCTATCCCCTTTCTCACATCTCCAATACAGACTTCAGCTGCTCTAGTTTTCCAGTCTTCTCCTCGATCTCACCAACTGGTTCTTTCTCCAGTTCAGCCAACAACAGCCTTGTGATATCCAGTACCTCCTAGAGGAAATAATAAGGTATCCATGCAGAAGGCCAAATCCTGGACAGTTACCTTTTCATCTTAGTTTTTTATCAAGACCCCTAATGCCATATTCTCTATCTCTCATAGCACTGCTCCTCCTGGCCAGATTCACTACTTTACCTGGAGCTGCTCAGGTCGCTTGAGTTTTAATTTCCCTGTCTTGTAGCCACCATGTTTTTCAAATAGAGCAAAAAACCTGAAGAAGTAATGAGAAGCTTCAGTGTGGGATGAGACAAAGCCTCTAGGAGTTGCCCCCCCATGCAATCTTCCTCACAAAAACCTATTTGTGTAAATTAGGACACTCTTCCTACCTTAGGTGTGTCACTTCCATCTTCATCTTCTGCTTGGGAGTACGATCCCCATGACGAATAATTGCAATGACACAACGAAGTTCCATCCTAAGATCATAAATGTGATCAGAGCTTCTCCCATGCCCCCATCTAACCTCCTGTCATCACATTTGACATTTTGACATGTCAAAAAACAGAGGGGCTGGGCAGGGTTCACGCCTGTGATCTCAACATTTGGGGAGGCTGAGGTGGGAGGATCACTTAGGTCCAGGAGAAGCACAGGGTGAGTGTGAGCAACATAGGGTGAGCCTGTGTCTATAAAAAAGTTAAAAGAGAAAAAATTATCTAGGCATGGTGGCATATGCCTGTGGTCCAAGTTCTTCAGGAGACTGAGGTGGGAGGATCACTTGAGCCCAGGAGGTACAGGTTGCAGTGAACCACGACTGAACATTGCACTCCAGCCTGGGAGACAGAGCCAGACCCTGCTGCAAAAAAACAAAACAAAACCAAAAACCAACCAAACAAAAAAAATAAAAACAGAGGGAAAGGGAACTGAGATTAGGAATATACATGGAAGCTGGACATGGTGGTTCACACCTGTAATCCCAGCACTTTGGAAGGCCGAGGTGAGTGGATCACTTCAGTCCAAGAGTTCAAGACCAGCCTGGTCACATGGTGAAACCCTGTCTCTGCTAAAAAGGCAAAAATTAGCCAGATGTACTCACCTGAACCCAGGAAGTGGAGGTTGCAGTGAGCTGAGATCATGCCACTGCACTCCAGCCTGGGCAACAGAGCAAGACTCTGTCTCAAAAAAAAAAGAATATAAGTGGAGTTAAGAAGACTGAGCAGGCTGGGCGCGGTGGCTCAAGCCTGTAATCCTAGCACTTTGGGAGGCCAAGGCGGGTGGATCACGAGGTCGAGAGATCGAGACCATCCTGGTCAACATGGTGAAACCCCGTCTCTACTAAAAATACAAAAAACTAGCTGGGCGTGGTGGCGTGTGCCTGTAATCCCAGCTACTTAGAGGCTGAGGCAGGAGAATTGCCTGAGCCCAGGAGGCGGAGGTTGCGGTGAGCCGAGATCGCGCCATTGCACTCCAGCCTGGGTAACAAGAGCGAAACTCCGTCTCAAAAAAAAAAAAAAAAAAAAAAAAAGAAGACTGAGCAGAAGAGCCCCAGGCTCTGATGGTCAGATAGTATGGGGTCAGGAAGTAACCTTCAGTCTGGCTTAAAGAATCTCATGTGTCTTTGGTAAAGTTACTCCAGATTTTTTACTTTTACTTACATAGTGCCAGATGTGGTAGGAACAATGGGAATGTCCTCAGCCTCTGTGGGGATGGACCATGGGATTTGGAACTGTGGGGCAAGCTCCCGCATTATGGTGTTCCTAGAAAGAGAAATGAAGAAGCCATGTGAAAATGAATAAACCAGAACTACTCATATGAATGAAGCTCACAAAAACAAGCAGACTGCAGGCAGAAGAATATATTAATATAAAGTCTAAAAACATACAAATACTCACACATATGTAGTAAAAAAAATAAATAAATATATGGGAATGACAAACACCAAATTAAGGATTGTGGTTCCCTCTGGAGGTAGGGAGGCAATGTTACCAGGGAAGAGCATATAGGGGCTTCAACTATATTCTTTTTTTTTTTTTTTTTTTTTTTTTTTTGAGATAAGAGTGTTGCTCTTGTTGCCCAGGCTGAAGTGCAATAGCATGATCTCAGTTCACTGCAACCTGGGTTCAAGCGATTCTATTGCTTCAGCCTCCCGAGTAGCTAGCATTACACCACCATTCTGGATAATTTTTTTTTTCTTTCTTTTTTTTTTTGAGACTGAGTCTTACTATTGTCACCCGGGCTGGAGTACAGTGGCACAATCTTGGCTCACTGCAGCCTCTGCTTCCTGGGTTCAAGCGATTCTCCTGTATCAGTCTCCCAAGTAGCTGGAATTATAGGCGTCCCCCAGCATGCCTGGCTAATTTTTTTTTTTTTTTTAGTAGAGATGCGGTTTCACCATGTTGGCTAGGCTGGAACTCCTGACCTCAGGTGATCTGCCTGCCTTGGCCTCCCACAGCGCTGGGATTACAGGTGGGAGCCACTGCACCCGGCCAATTTTTTGTATTTTTAGTAGAAACAAGGTTTCACCACATTGGTCAGGCTGGTCTTGAACTCCTGATCTCAGGTGATCCACCCACCTCAGCCTCCCAAAGTGTTGGGATTACAGGAGTGAGCCACTGCACCTGGCCTATATCAATATTTTATTTCTTAAGCCAGGTGGTGAATACATAGATGCTCACTATAGTCATCATTCCTTATATATTTTTGAAAGGCTTAAACATTATGTGACAAAATTTTTGGAAAGTCAAGTTGCAGAGCAGTATTATAGTATGACCACATTTGGTAAAATAAATACAATTCGAATATGGCAGAAAAAGACAAATTGCTATGTCTAAAACTGTTAACAACAATGGTCTCTGGGGGGTCAGTGTTAAAAGGCAAGGAGCCTAAGAAGCCCTTTCTCTTTTTTCTTTATTTTATTTTTTAAATCATGGAATTTTGCTCTTGTCATCCAGGCTGGAGTGCAATGGCATGAACTCAGCTCACTGCAACCTCCAACTCCTGCATTCAAGCGATTCTCCTGCCGCAGCCTCCCTAGTAGCTAGCATTACAGGTATGTGCCACCATGCCTGGCTAATTTTGTATCTTTAGTAGAGATGGGGTTTCACCATGTTGGCCAAGCTGGTCTCTAATGCCTGACCTTAAGCGATCCACCCGCCTTGGCCTTCCAAAGTGTTGAGATTACAGGCATGAGCCATTGAGCCTGGCCTTTTTCACCTTTAAATCATATTTATAACATTAAAAATAAAGTAGGCCAGGTGCGGTGGTGGCTCACATCTATAATCCCAGCACTTTGGGAGGCCGAGGTGGGTGGATCACGAGGTCAAGACATCGAGACCATCCTGGTCAACATGGTAAAACCCTGTCTCTACTAAAAATACAAAAATTAGCTGGGCATGGTGGCGCGTGCCTGTAATCCCAGCTACTCAGGAGGCTGAGGCAGGAGAATTGCCTGAACCCAGGAGGCGGAGGTTGGGATGAGCCAAGATTGCACCATTGCACCCCAGCCTGGGTAACAAGAGCGAAACTCCGTCTCAAAAAAAAAAAAAAAAAAAAAAATTAGCTGGGCATGGTGGCGCACGCCTGTAGTCCCAGCTACTCAGAAGGCTGAGGCAGGAGAATTGCCTGAACCCAGGAGGCGGAGGTTACGGTGAGCTGAGATCGCGTCATTGCACTCCAGCCTGGGTAACAAGAGCGAAACTCTGTCTCAAAAAATAAATAAATAAAATAAAATAAAATAAAATAAAAAATAAAGCAAAAACTTTCAAATATTCTTCTGCAAGCCCATTCTCCCCAGCATAGATCATTATGTCTCTTACCCCAGAATCTTGGCACAGTCATCATAGTATTTCATCGAGTTCTTGACAAAACTAAAGCCATTGACATCACACACAAAGGAATGACCATTGGCACGAAGAAGGTCAAATCCACAAACTGTTTGCTGAAAGGGAAAGCAGAAAGATGACGACAAGACAGTTACTTTTCCCAGACCCCTATTCCTTCCTTTCTCCCTCATTTCACAACCTCCCTGGGTCCTCCTCTACCTTGAAAGCTACGCAGACTTTCCTGGCCACCAGCTTTTCCATGGCAGTCAGCATGACTGGATATCGAATCTCTTTTCCCTCACTGTCTCGTTCAACTTTCCCATCCAAAGCTGGAGATTTTCTAGCTTCAGCATGGGCATAATCTGGCCCCACTGTATACACCTGCAGGTACATAGCATCACTGAGTATGCCCACAGCTCACCCTGTATATGAGAAGACAACATGAGCACTGGTCTGTAGACTAGTTTCAGAGTAAAACAACAACAACACAAACAAATCCTGAGCATTAAGAAGGAGTCTGACCAACATTTTTCTACTGAGCCCTAACTGAAGTATCATTATGAAGGTTTCTCCTCAGGACTCCTATACTGTCATCTAGTCCTTATTAAAAAACAATTTACTAACATTATGCCATTTTTCTAAGTCAGCCTCACCCCTGCTCTGATAGTGAAATGTCTATATCCTCCATTCATTACCTTCACCTGAATATGAAAGCCAATCACATTCACATCATGTTATTTTCCAGGACCTCCTCCCCATATACTTCCACCTGCTTCCCACGTACCCCAACCCCCCACCCCCAGACATTTGTAACCTCTTAAATCCCTGTATCCACCATAACCTTGACATCTGTGCCATCTGTTGGCATAAACTCCTCATAGATGTATGACCCTGTCTTTCGGACGCTGCTCTCAGGAGAGTAAACACTGCTTCGGCTGCCAATCTTCAGGATAAAAAAGAAGAAAAAACAATGTTATCTCAATTCTTTATTCTGTCCCCAAATTCTCCATTCTCCATCTTCCTTCCCCACAACCTCATCCTTGCCCTTCTACCTCTCTGACTCTCCAGATGCTCAAATATCTCCTGTACCTTACGAAACAGACGCTGGCTTCCTCCTCCAGCTGAGCTGGGGTAGTAGATGTAAACATTGTGGTCTTCTGCACTCACTGGCTTCTCCACAAAGGGCTTGGGAAAGACAGCTCCATTGACCTCTACTTGGTCTTCACCTTCTATTAGGTTGCATTCTGAAAGGTAGGTAGGTGTGTGGTCATTTCGATGGTGCAAAGTTGTAGAATATTACTAATTGTCATTTCCCCAGGTTTTAATGTCTATAACCATCTCATTTTTATGACTCTATGTTTGTAACAGATGAGGTGATATCTCTATATAATAGGTCCAAGGCCCTGTCCAAAGACTCATAGCTCTAATCCCACCCATAATCCAATAACCAAAGCCCCACATAGATAGGTAGTATATAGGAGATGTCTAGAAGATGAAAACGTGGCTAAGTCATAGAAAGCAAGAAAGGGAAGGACTAACCCTCCCTCAGGCCAGGTACTTACCCTCAGGCCGGGCAGGATCACGGTTGAGCACAGCATATCGAGGCAGATCAATACCCTCTTCCTGCAGGATCCGGTACACCTCCCTCCTGTCACCCCCAAATAAAGTAGCTGGGAGAGGTGGGAGTAACTAAGGGGAGAGGCTGGGGATTTCATTTACACAAGGATTAAAGGACACCAAGGCACAAAATTATGGTACAGAAATTAAGCATGGTTGTTTGACTCGGTCCCTCCCAGAGTGGGTTCTCTAAACATGCATGATCCCAACCCCACCCATCTTACTGGTCAACAGGAAGTTATACCTATCTTGGATGTAATACTGCATGGCCAGATCATTGATAAGAAAGGGGTTTCGAAGCTTGGAGTAAGCAACAGCTTTGTCCAGAGGAAAGCCTGGAACGGAGACAGGAAATAAAGAGATCAAAGAAAGGAAGTGAAACAGAACAAGAAAAGAGCAAGAGAGATAGAAAAACATATTAAAGCTATTAGCTGCCACTGAGATCCTCTACCCATTCAATCCATCATTTATTCTTCTGCCCAGCTCCCCAAGTCTAGAATATTCATCAAGAAAAAGTAAAACAGAAATTATATTTCCAGAGACCCAATTCTGTCAGAGATACTAAGATACTTAGAGTTGTCCTGAGGTTAGAATACAGGCTTTAAACCCCTGGCAACTCCTCCAAGATGTACGGAAAGCAAACTCCTTTGCACTGTTCTCTAGTGTGCCACAAGGAGCTGATGGCTCTTTACTAAGGAAATAAGACAACAAGAACCTCACTTCCCAAACCAGTATTCCCACCACCATTCCTTCCCATTTTCCTTCCCAGACCCCAACCTTTGGAGTGGAAAGAGATGAGGCAGTGGCAGGATGGCCAGTTTTCCACAGGTTCATTAAGGATTACATCTTCTCCCAGAATGATAACGGTCAGGTAGTCAAATCTGCATAGTCGCTCTAGGATTTGAGTCATTGGCTTGGACTTCGATTTCTTGGTCATGGCACAGATGCCAACAATGATCTGAGGTTCAGGAGGCTACAGAGAGGAAGTGCTATCAGAAACTCAAGAACTTCCCACCAATATCACCCACTTCTGGGAACACTGTCTTATCTCCTTAGGGCACAGAGGTTCTTGCCAGGACTCTGGACCTATGGGATAAAGGGTGCCTCCTAACTTTGCTCCAGGTTGGAGCACAGCTAAGGATTCTGACTGCCTACAGAATAGGAGCTTTTCCACAGTAGGAAAAACGTGCTCAAGCAGAGAGCTAGAGAACCAACAACCAAGAAACCAAGAGACAACAGGAAGAGCCTAAGGGCAGGGGTTTCTTTTTCTTTTCTTTTTTTTTTTTTTTTGAGACAGAGTCTCACTCAGCCTCCCAAGTAGCTGGGATTATAGGCGCCCACCACCACATCCAGCTAATTTTTGTATTTTTAGTAGACACAGGGTTTTAAGACTAGTTTTGAACTCCTGACCTCAAATGATCTGCCCGCCTTGGCCTCCCAAAGTGCTGGGATTACAGGTATGAGCCACCGCGGCCAGCCAGGGCAGGGGTTTCTAAGAGAGGCAACCTAACCAATCTGTACTGCTCCTCCCCTAAACCAGGATAGGCCCTGTTTATGACAGGGAGTCTGTGTATTTGGAAAGAACAGAGAGGTATCTCCATTCAACAGAATCTGAACTCCTTAGACAGAGGCTCCAACACCAAGTTACATCATTTTCCCCATTCTTACCACTTCATCCTCCTCATCCTCAAGGAGCTCGTTGTCACTCTCTTCTGGCCTCATGCCTATTCCACGGGTGCCCAGCCCCTCATCTCCAGCTCCAAGGAAGAAGTGGGCTGTGGTACTCTCGCCCTCACTGGCCGTCAGCGACCACATCCCTGCCAGAACACCCACTCATCCCGCTCTGCAGAAAGGGGTACCCCATCAGATCAGAACCCAAGCTCCCTGGCAGTGGGTGGGGATGGGGATAGGGATGAAAAAATTAAGAGGGAACTATAAGGGTACTAGGGTGAAACAAAACAAAGCTATAGGAAAAAGGATCAACAAGAAAGGAGGCATATGGGCTATGCTTGAAATGCTAAAAGAGCCATAAAAGAAAAACAAGGTATCCCATTTCCTCCCTGCTCACCCCACCCCAACCAATAAATTAGTAAGAGGATCAGATAATCAGCCCTTACAATGCCTGCATGTCCCTGATTTGGCCAGCAAGAAACATTAACTTCAGTCAGCAATGGGAAAGGCAGGTCCTCAAGGAAGGCTACTGCTGAGTCCTACCAGAAGAGAAGGTTAGAGTGACATTTCAAACTTTGGACTCATTCCACAATGTTCCTAGCCCTTTTCCACCTCCTCACAGAAGTGATGAATTCAGTGATTTAATTCAAAGGCAGAGGAATGAGAGAGCTCAGCTGCCTTTGCCCTTAAACCTCATCTTAATTCTTTCCAAAGATGAACTAAAAAAAATATTTATTGAGGCCACCCAACATTCTAAGCATTATATCAGAACATTAAGGCCAGGCACACTGGCTTACACCTATAATCCCAACACTTAGAGAGGCTGAGGAGGGTGGATCACTTGAGTCCAGGAGTTCGAGACCATGCTGGGCAACATGTTGAAACCATGTTTCTACAAAAAAAAAAAAAAAAAAACCCACAAAAATTAGCCAAGCATGGTGGTGCATGCCTGTAGTCCCAGCTACTTGGGAGGCTGAGGCAGGAGAATCATCATTTGAGCCCGGGATGCAGAGGTTGCAGTGAGCTGAGATCACGCCATTGCACTCCAGACTGGGTGACAGTGAGATCCTCTCTCAAACAAACAAAAACAAAACAAAACAAAAACAAACAATATCCTTAAAAACTCCATGCTCTCTCTATCCTTCACTCATTCCATCTTAAAAGACAGTTGTCCAGTCAGATGTTGTGGTTCATGCCCGTAATCCCAGCACTTTGGGAGACTAAGGCAGGAGAATCACTTGAGCTTAGGAGTCTGAGACCAGACAGGGCAACATAAGAAGATTCCATTGCTACAAAAAAAATTTTAAGGCTGGGCACAATGAACCATGCCTGTAATCTCAGCACTTTGGGAGGCTGAAACAGGATGACTGCTTGAGCCCAAGAGTTTGAGACCAGCCTGGTCAATATAGGGAGAGCTTGCCTTTACAAAAGCTTTTTCTTAAATTAGCCAGGCATGGTGGCATGTGCCTGTGGTCTAAGCTACTTGGGAGGATAACCTGGGAGGATTGTTTAAGCCCAAGCAGTCGAGTGCAGTGAACCACTGCACTCCAGCTGCATGACAGAAAAAGACCGTGTTTCAAAAGAAAAAAATGTTTTTTAAAATTAGCCAGGCATAGTGAGTGGTACCTGCCTGTGGTCCCAGCTACTCAATAGCTGAAGTGAGAGGACTGTTTAAGCCCAAGAGGTCAAGGCTGCAGTAAGCTGTGATTGTGTCACTGCACTCCAGCCTGGGTGACAGAGCAAGACACTGCCTCAAAAAATAAATAATAATAATGATAACAATAATAATAAAAGACAGATGCAGAAGTTCAGAAAATCCATTCAGGGAAAGGGGTCTAGTGTGGTTGGGAGGTTGAGGATACAGGCATCCATACAGCAGTCTCCAACCCATTCTCTTTATTTATTTATTTTTAATTATTATTATTATCATTTTTGAAATGGAGTTTCGCTCTTGTTGCCCAGGCTGGAGTGCAATGGTGCAATCTCGGTTCACTGCAACCTCTGCCTCCTGGGTTCAAGTGATTCTCCTGCCTCAGCTTTCCGAGTAGATGGTATTACAGGCATGTACCACAATGCCCCGCTAATTTTTTGTATTTTTAGTAGAGACGGGGTTTCACCATGTCGGTCAGGCTAGTCTTGAACTCCTGACCTCGTGATGCACCCGCCTTGGGCTCCCAAAGTGCTGGGATTACAGGCGTGAGCCACTGCACCTGGCCTTCTCCAACCCATCCTCAAACTGAAATTTCAATGTTCTCTCTAGTTGTCCCCTGGTGCAATAGAACCAGTGCTGGTCTAGGCCAAGGTCCCTCACACCAGGAGCTGCAGTTTAAAAAAAAAAAAAAAAAAAAAATCCTGCCTAAAACTGTACCAGTAAGAATATCTTAAGACTTTAACTTGAACAGCAGTTCCACTTCTAAGTACACACAACTAATTGAGAACCAACCAGCTGTGATTTTGTTGCACAGGGGAAATTTGGCCGGAGACATTTTTGGTTGCCACAACTGAAATGATATTATTGGTGTCCAGTGAGTAGAGGCCAGGGATACTGCTAACCATTCTAAAATGCATAAGGTACCTCCTCACAACCAAGCACTATCCAGCCTTAAATCTCAGTAGTGTTGAGGTAGAGAAACCCTGCTGTAGAGAAATTCTCCTACATAAGAAGACTTTCGTAAGGAAGTTCTCAGTCTCTCTGTTGGTAATGAGAAAACATGAAAACAGTTCAGAGGTTACAAGTAGAATCAATACATACAATGTAGCATATAGAAATGACAGACTAATATCAATATAAAAATAAAAACTATATGTAATAAATGTACAGTTTCCAAATACAAACTGCAGAAATATACCTGCAGTACAATTGTATTTGTATAAATACAAATATTACATATTGTTTGTGACTGCATATATAATTAATAGAAGTATAAAAACAGGGACTAGAAAGAAAGACATCAAATTCATGACAGTGGTTACCTTTGAGGAGAAGGGAGAATGGAACTGAGGATTCAAACAGTACTTCACAACTTTATCTATAATGTTTACTTCAATTGTAAAAAACATCTGAAGCAAATACACAAAAGGTTAACATTTGTTAATATGAATTGTAAGGATATGAATATGTTATTATTTTCCAAAAATAAAAATTGAGTCACACATCAGCAATTTTCCATGGTCTCCAAAAGTTCTCAGAAACACTGACCAATGACTCTAATGAAAGTCACAAACTCCTTAAGTAAATGAACTTGTCTTACAGAAATAATGTTTTATATATGTAGTCTTATAGATTCTGAAAATAGTCTTGAATAATTATTTTCTCTATTTTTATTTTAACTCTTTCATTACAACTAGGGTTTGCAATTTTGACTAAAAAGTTCTAGGTGACCATCAGGTGCGGTGGCTCATGCCTGTAATCCCAGCACTTTGGGAGGCTGAGGTGGGCGGATCATTTGAGGTCAAGAATTAGAGATCAGCCTGGCCAACATGGCGAAACCCTATCTCTACTAAAAATAAAAAAAAATTAGCTGGGCATGTGCCGTGCGCCTGTAGTCCCAGCTCCTTGGGAGGCTGAGGCTGGAGAATCACTTGAACACATGCGGAGGTTGCAGTGAGCCAAGATCGCGCCACTGCACTCCAGCTTGGGCAACAAGAGTGAAAACCCCATCTCAAAAAAAAAAAAAAAAAAGAAAGAAAGAAAGAAAGAAGGTTCTACCTGACCTTTATATACCTTGACCTTTCCAGTGTTCATCATATGCTGTGTTTACTTCTCAACTGCCATGGGGGTGCAACATTCTCCTTAGACTTAACATTTCCATTGTGCACTCATACACACACTCTTCCCCCTGATAAAATGGCTATTTTTAAATTCCTTTTCAGTGACCTGACCCAATTTCCCTGACTTGGGACATTCCCAAGGTCTCTGTATAGTTTGAGCAATTAGAATTTTGTTGCATTCTTTATCCTTGCTCTGAACCAGGGACTTTCTCTCAAGTCTAAGATTACTAACCCTTTGCCCTTTCTTCCATTAAGTCCTTCCCTGTTTTCTACTGAATTTACAGTAATGTTCTTGAAATTCTATTGCAACTACATAATGGGGCATGGTAAGTAATTGAATAGGGATGAGACTGTTTACAAATATGTGGCTGAAGAAAGACGAAAGGTCTAAATTCACAGTTAACAAAGCCAAAATAGCAGCCGGACAGAAATAGCTATGAAATAAGCCAGGATTTATTTAGATGCACCTCTGGGAGAAGCTGGGCTTTAATGTGGTGTTCCCAGAGCCACCTCCCTGTTTTCTATGCCCTGCTCCCCAACCTCCCCCACAAACATTTGTTACAAAAGAACAGAAAACTTCAGTGTCTACACTGGGCTAAAGGGCAGTCTTACTCTAACATGAATCAATATGAACGGAAGGAAAGAAGCAAGGAGATGGGCAAGTAAGGTAAAGAGGGAGACGCAGGCAGGCATTCTTCTCAGGAACATCTATATTAAATCAGATGTGGAAAAGGGTTAAAAGGCAGGGTAAACAGTGTAACTTCTTTATCCCTTAGAATTTAGGGCTGTTTGCATAATCGTCTCATTTCCTAAATCACTATGCACTTGATGGTGGGCTCCATCGGTGGTGAAAGGCAAATATTAATACAAAATCCAAGCAGGAATACATCCAACACAGAAAAACTACTCAATCCACCAACACTACTTTCTGTCCACCTTGAAGAGTGGATGCCCCCCTTTCTTCTTAATGCAATTTTTAATTCATCAGACACACTCCTCATTCCAACTCTGATCAACTGTGCTCCTCTCCCTGTTCTCAGTATCAGCTGCCTCATACCGTCTTCTTTCCCCAACTTGCTACAAGGACTCTGGTCCCAATACTGACTGCTGCCTACCCACCCCGCACCCCCATCACTGATCAACTAATTCCATTAATCCAATTAATCCTCCCACTCAAGGATTCCCCAGTATTAAAGTCCTTCATCCCCTCACACGAGTCACCATACTTGGTAACATCTTTATACAGACCTCTCAGTGACCCCCACAATGACTGCCTGCCATCCATTCTTTCCTCACGCCACCCCTTTCTGGAAGCTGCCTTCTCTCCGCCGCAACCCATTCCTCAAGCTACCCCTACGCCCGGATTCCAGCCCCACTCCTCCTGGCGGAGATCCCCTCCACCTTGATCCTCTCCATCCTCCCGCAGGACCCCCTCTTCCTCACGCAGACCCCCACACACCTATCTTCTCTCTCACCGACCCCCTCCTCAGTCCTCTCCTCGCACTGCTACGGGTCACGAATACTGCCCTCCCATCCCGACTCCACTAGCCTTTGCCCGCCCCCGCCTTCGCCGCCTCACTCTCCCTGCGCTGACACTTAGGGCCCTCCGCTGGGCCTCTTCCCAAAGCCGAGCCCACCCGGAACGAACGCCAGCCCTGGCAACCCACCGAGTCCACTCTACCGCGCCCACCCCCTCCGATACCGCCCCCAGCCCCAACCACTCCCCCACCGCCCCCGGCCCTCACTCACCCGCCTCCCTCCGCTCGCGCAGCCGAACCTGCCGGCAGCGACACCTGACAGCCGCCCAATCAAAGCGCGACTTCTTTGCGGTGCCACCAATCGGCGGAGGGCGCGCACCGGCAACAGAGTCAGGCTGCGTTGGCCGGCGCTTCTGCGCGGAGGAGCGTGACTCCTAGTGGCTCTGGGAGGAAATGCAACCTGGTGCTCCCTTCCTTTGATTTCTTACTGCGTCGCCGAAGTCCAGATGCTTGGTCTAGACAGAGGCGTTCCATGAGGCGACGGGGTGGGTGGAAAGCCTGATGCTGAAGAAGAGCAAGAGGCAGATTTTGTGCCACTGCTGCTCCTTCAGGGAAAAACCAGTTCTTCCGTTTGTCTTATAAGACAAAACAGGGTATGATACATGTACAGATCCATTAAATAAAGGTTGAAAATGTTAAGAGATGTAAAGAGGGGTAGTGTGATAGGGAGACTGGAGACAAAAACAGAGACAAGGGGAGACAGATCAGAAAGTTAAGGGAAGGAACAGAGACATTTGCAGAGGCAAGAAAATGGATGAACATGGAACTCTAGGCAAATTGCCATATCTCCGCAGCCTGCTTTTTCTCTACCCTCCAGACAAAGCTGGATTTGAATCCTGGCCGTACCATTAATAGCTGTGCAGCCTTCAGTGAGTCACTTAACTTCTCTGAGCATTTACTTTTCTCATCCATAAAACTGGGATTAAAAACTTAATTAAGGCCAGTTGTGGCTCATGCCTGTAATCCCAGCACTTTAGGAGACCGAGGCAGGCAGACTGCTTGAGTGCAGGAGTTCAAGACCAGCCTGGGCAACATGATGAAACCCTGTCTCTACAAGAAATGCAAAACTAGCCAGGCGTGGTGGCAAATAACCTGTGGTCCCAGCTACTCATGAGGCTGAGGTAAGAGGATCACTTGAGCCTGGCAGACGGAGGTTGCAGTGAGCCAAGATCACCTCACTACACTCCAGTCTGAGTGACAGAGCAAGACCCTGTCTCAAACAACAACAACAACACACCTAACTTAAAGCATTATGTATTGAATATGTTTGTATTACTCTTATTATTATCCTTGCATCTTCACTTGGTGATCAAGACAGTCATTCCCTGGTTCTTCTCTGCAACATTAGGAGTCTTGACACTTTTTCAGTCTTACCTCATTGTACCGACCCCCCCCACCCCGTCCCACCACCTGCCAAGGCATTCTGAATGGATATAGAGGTGATACTAAGAGCTGGAATAGATGATTCTAAGAGGAATAGATGCCTCCCTAGTTCATGCTTAGGCTAATACCCCCTTCACCACTCTAGCCCTTCAAACTAGCTAGTATAGCATCTTCCAGGTATTTAACTTCTCTTACTATTCCCCTGAAAATGTAGACTTTGTCCCTCATAATCCACTGGAACAATCTAATTTAACTCAATGAAATAATAGATATGAAAGTTTCTTGTAATTGTAAAGTGCTTTTTTTTTTTTTTTTTTTTTTTTGAGACGGAGTTTCGCTCTTGTTACCCAGGCTGGAGTGCAATGGCGCGGTCTCGGCTCACCGCAACCTTCGCCTCCTGGGCTCAGGCAATTCTCCTGCCTCAGCCTCCTAAGTAGCTGGGATTACAGGCACGCGCCACCACGCCCAGCTAGTTTTTTGTATTTGTAGTAGAGACGGGGTTTCACCATGTTGACCAGGATGGTCTCCATCTCTCGACCTCGTGATCCACCCGCCTCAGCCTCCCAAAGTGCTGGGATTACAGGCTTGGGCCTCCGCGCCCGGCCTTGTAAAGTGCTTTAAAAATATTAAATACTGGCCAGGTGCAGTGGCTCATGCCTGTAATCCCAGCACTTTGGGAGGCCGAGGCAGGTGGTTCACAAGGTCAGGAGATCAAGACCATCTTAGCCAAAATGGTGAAACCCCATGTCTACTAAAAATACAAAAAATTAGCCAGGCGTGGTGGTGCACGCCTGTAGTCCCAGCTGCTTGGGAGGCTGAGGCAGGGGAATTGCTTGAACCCAGGAGGTGGAGGTTGCAGTGAACCAATATTGCACCACTGTACTCCACCCTGGTGACAGAGCAAGACTCCATCTAAAAAAAAAAAAAAAAAAATTAAATACTATTGACAATAGTTCTTATTAAATAGCATACCATATATCAATGTCATATATTGATTACTTCCATATGCTGTAGAATATGTTTTTTTAATGAGTATTAATATATTATATGCCTGTCAAAGGCACACGAGGGATAAGAAAAGTGCAAAAGTACATGTGTTTTCCCTGTGGAATTATTGAATTATTGTTCAAATTTGGGCAGCTACTCTCTAAACTTGGGTTATTTCTCTTACTTCTCTGGCTGTCTTACTTCTCCTCCTGTAATTATCTCTTCCCACTCCCTACCCCCTTAATCTTAGTAACCACCTTCTCAATCAAATAGCAACCTTACTGCTCTGGAAGATTATCTCCCTATTTACCTGGATAAATACATGCTATTCTAAGAAATTATATTTATTTACTCATGGCTATTTTTTAACCTAGTTAAAGAGGCCTCACAACACAGGTAACATTTTCCACACTGCAGAAACATAACTCTGTTCTCTAATAATTGATGTCTTTCCAGGAGAAGAAGACATGGACCCAAGAGAGAAGTGGACACTTCTAAGAATACCCACAACTGAAGAAAGTAGAAAAAAAGGACACAAAGGAGGCCTAGAAGGAATGAAGGGAATGAGAGTAGTATGGGAAATTCTTGATGTGAAGGGAATTCTCTTTCCCAAATACTCTCTCTTAAGATTTCCAAGTATCTTACTGTCTTGTGGGTACACCAGAATAGCAGAGGGAAGGGACTAATGCCACCGTGCTACTCCACTTTAACTGATCCTCCACACTGAAGCCCCCCATCTCTATTTCAACTATAGCATTCATTCTCCTTGCTACCAGAACAAGGGTCCAGTCATACCTGGAGCTGGAAACACAGCCCTCTCAAATCTGAATATGTGTTTTACGAGGAGAGAGAGCAGGAGAGGGGACCACGAGAGAGGCAGAGACTCCCTGATGACCTCATGCCCTTGTACACCACTCGCCTTTACACTCTGGATTAAACAGCATTAGGGAGCCAAGAGAGGAAACACATGTGGTGTCTGGAGACCTGTGCCTGCCTGTTCCAGTCCCACGCCCAGTCATCTCACCACACCCTTCACCTCACTTTCTCACATTCTCCTCCAGCCCAGGAATTAGGCGAGAGAAGTGAAGGGACAGGAGGAAGAGGCAACTAACAATTCTTTGTCCAACCACAGCCCCACACCCAGGACAACCAACAGGTGGGCAAGCTTGCCAAGAATACGCAGAGGACGTCCTACGAGCAGCAAACAGGTCTGAGCCTGGAAAAGACGCAGAGAAGTAAAAGATCAAAGGTGAGGTAGGGGACGAGGAGGAAAGTGGGCGAGACAAAAGGAAAAAAAAAAGTGGGGGATCATGAGAAGTAGAGGCAGGAAATAACAGGGCTTCAGACCTGGACGCAGAGTGGAGGTGGAGGACACAGCACAGATGGCCTAAGAGTTAATATTTCCCTGGTTCCTCCCTGGGAGTCCTTTCTCAACCTTGTAAGGAGCGCACAGGGGTGGCAAGGAAGCACCTTGGTCTTCTTCCTGGTTCTAAGGAAAAGGTGACCTTGAACCAGTGGGTGTCTTTCCCAGTGCCTGCCTCTAACCCTGTGCTTTCTCCATATCCTCCTCTGCTATCTGTGTTTATTCCGCGGTTTCCCTGCGGCTGCCCCGGGAGATGGGAGAGGTGGCTGAGGCAGGCCAGAAGCAGAGAAGTTGGGCAATGTCACCCTTGCACACCTACAGTGTAGAAGGATCGGGTTTCGGCTTAAACCGAGGGGTTTGGGGGAAGGGTGTTGGGATTTAGCTAGTCCACGTGGGTGCTGTCCTCTATTTGGTGCTGAAATCTGGGCGACCTCATCCAGGGGGGCTTTCATCCCAGGTTTTAGGCGCGCGAGTCTCAGGCCCAGCTAATTACCTGGCGGGTGCTGCCCACCCCTGCCCCCACGCACCTAGCGCGGTGGCAGGCGGAAAGGCGGGGCCTAGGGGAGCCCCACCCCTGAAGACTGCGGCTGGGGCTTCCCTCGCCTCCTCCCGCCTGCCCGCCTGCCACTAGCTCATTGCGACTCTCCTGCAGTCTGATCGGTACCGGCTCCTATTCCGGCTCTAACCTCCACTGCGACCCCCATCTCGGCTGCAGCCTCGGACCTAGCTCCGGCCCTCAGTCTATCCGCTTGCATCCTCCCTCCCTGTTCCGGATCCTGTCTTGCGCCAGCGCCTACTCTAGGATCCCGTAACCAGACCCTCAAGCCATGGCTGGTCCCTTCTCCCGTCTGCTGTCCGCCCGCCCGGGACTCAGGCTCCTGGCTTTGGCCGGAGCGGGGTCTCTAGCCGCTGGGTTTCTACTCCGACCGGAACCTGTACGAGCGGCCAGTGAACGACGGAGGCTGTATCCCCCGAGGTAACAGTGCCTGAGGCGCGGGAGGGGGCGGGGGCAGGTGGTGATGGGAATGAAGGTGCGGGTAGAAATGAGAATCCGGGCAACAGAGAAGGGCTATAATCACGAAGGCCCTGGAGCTGGAGGGCTGTACAGTCTGCAGACCTCAGTGGGGTGGGGGTGGGGGCCAAAACCATAAAGCAAGAACATTCCTGGGGACCTGTCAAGACCAGCTCCGGCCCTGCGAGTTCTAGCTGCACTTGCTGCCCAAATCCCTAATTGCAAAGCCAGGAACTATTCTTTTCGCTCCCCTCCATCTCCTTCCCTCATTTCCTCAATTCCTCTCCTTAGTCTTTCTCCTCCTCCATCCCTAGTGTTGTCATGGAAGGAAATAACAGAGCAGATCTGGAGAAACTGAGCTGGCTAGCCAGAGGCAACTAGAACTATTAGGAAAGAATAGACTCTCAAAGTACCTAAAGAGATTACCAAGGTTTAGCCTCTTTCTAATTCCCCCTCCTCCCACGGAGCAAAGCCAGCCATGGCCAAGTGGACAGCTCCCAGGTAACTGCACTAGGTCTAGGCCACTGTGCCCTCCCTCCATGGTTACTGGGTACCCCCTCCCTAGCGCTGAGTACCCAGACCTCCGAAAGCACAACAACTGCATGGCCAGTCACCTGACCCCAGCAGTCTATGCACGGCTCTGCGACAAGACCACACCCACTGGTTGGACGCTAGATCAGTGTATCCAGACTGGCGTGGACAACCCTGGCCACCCCTTCATCAAGACTGTGGGCATGGTGGCTGGAGATGAGGAGACCTATGAGGTAGGGGGTCCCCAGAGTCTCCCTGGTGATCCAACTCATCTTCCCAGTAATCCCAGCTCCTTCCCCCTAAAGACCTCTCCAAGACTCCGAGCCATCCACACTTAAGTTTTTCTGACCCACTGAAATCAATGCACAATTGAAGCCTAGGGAGGGATTTCCTCTCCTTAACCATCTCTTCCTCTTAACTCCCCTTAGGTATTTGCTGACCTCTTTGACCCTGTGATCCAAGAGCGACACAATGGATATGACCCCCGGACAATGAAACACACCACTGATCTGGATGCCAGTAAGGTATGTTTAAAAATTCCACTTCTGATTTGCATTGCCTGTGTACAACACTCTGTGTTTCCAGTCCTTCACCTTATTTCCTGACTCATGGTCATTACACTGCTGAGCTTCTAATCTTAATGTAAGGAAAGAATCCTGTCTTAAGGAGCAGCATGTATGGAGACGAAGGATAGATAAGAATGACCATGGCCCCAAGATGGGCAGTTTGGGGAAGGGTCTGCAAGGCCACCTTCAATTGGAGTGTTTTCCCAATGAGCCTCTTCTTCCAATGCACACAGGAAGAATACACGAAGAGTCCACAAATCCCTAAGGAAGGTCTCTCCTTTCCCAGGGGCCCTCAGTTCCCACTCACAGTGTTTCTGTGACTTATATTCATTTCCCTTATTTCCCAGATCCGTTCTGGCTACTTTGATGAGAGGTATGTATTATCCTCGAGAGTGAGAACTGGCCGAAGCATCCGAGGACTCAGTCTGCCTCCAGCTTGCACTCGAGCGGAGCGACGAGAGGTGGAACGTGTTGTGGTGGAAGCACTGAGTGGCCTGAAGGGTGACTTGGCTGGACGTTACTATAGGCTCAGTGAGATGACAGAGGCTGAACAGCAGCAGCTTATTGATGTGAGGGCCTTAAGAGGGAGCTGGGTTGGGGGAGCAGATAGAGAAAAGAGCCAGAGGGGAGCCTGGGCCAGATGAGACATGGGCTCTGAGAGGTCCAGGGGCCACCATTAAGATTCTTAACCCAAGTCCCTTTACTCTTCCCAGGACCATTTTCTGTTTGATAAGCCTGTGTCCCCATTGCTGACTGCCGCAGGAATGGCTCGAGACTGGCCAGATGCTCGTGGAATTTGGTATGAGGCTGCTTCTTACCTCTTTTGTCTTCAGGGCCTCGTAAATGCTTTTTTTCCCCCTCTGTCTCTCCCAATTCTTGCCTTGCCTCTTGATCACTGTCCTTCTCTGGCCCTCAGGCACAACAATGAGAAGAGCTTCCTGATCTGGGTGAACGAGGAGGATCATACACGGGTCATCTCCATGGAGAAGGGCGGCAACATGAAAAGAGTGTTTGAAAGATTCTGCCGAGGCCTCAAAGAGGTTGGAGAAGAGTGTGTAGGGTTGCTAGGTGGGAGGACATAAGGAAAATTGAAGAGTAGCATAAATAGATTATGTAATTTGTAAACCAACCCAGGACATGTCTGATAGTAAAAAGGGTTGCCATTAATCACTCTAGGACTAAAAGAATAAACCAGCTGGGACTATACCGGGAAAACCAGGACATGTGGTCACCCTAAGATTAGGAAGAGAGAAAGAGTATCAGGAACCTTAGGACATGAATAAGGCAGTTGCCAGATAATGCAAAGAAGGAATAACTGAAGGAAGGCAGGTCAGTGCCTGGGACGTGTGGTGTGGGATGCTGAGGTGTGCAGATAAGGAGATGATTTGAGCTTTGATTGATGTTGGTGGGGAGAGGTTGCTGTGTTCATGACTCTATTTTAACTACCCAGTTCTGACCCAAGGTAGGCCTTGTATCTGGATTCTATCATTCTTGCTTAAGTACCATGTCTAGGCTTTAAGCTGAGAGTTGGGAGGGAGATTGGGGAAGATGGAGGATAGAATGGTTTGAGTTCTAGAATATGTGGCTGTAGATGAGAGGTTGAACTTAATCCTCAATCCTACATAGATTGGTTCTCCATATTGAAGTCTACATTAGAAAACCCCATAAACCCAATTCTTACTGTATGTACTCATACATACAGTTCTATTTTAGGCTTGCAAAGAAAAAAGCTCCTCTTTTAGATTCTGAGCAGTTTCTACTATTTTTGGCAAGTAATAGATAACATATTCTCACTATGAGTGGGTAAGGAAGTAACTTTAAAGTATATGCCTCAGTTTCCTCATCTGTAAAATTGGGATAATGCGATTTTCTACATTTTAGGTTGTTGTGGGGATTAAATGAAATACAGGTAAAGTACTTGGTCCATAGTAAGTGCTTAATAAGTGTTAAAGTGTTAGCTGCATTATTATTCTAGATGGAAGGGTTTCCCCATGTTCAGCATGTAAGATATTCCCCTATGCCATGGTTCTTTCTGAACTGTAAACAGGATCCGTTTACTCATGTTGGGTAGTGGTCTTTGTGACCTGTATTCTGGTAGATCCCTTGTCTCTTCAAGTCTAATAGTCACCTTCATGACTACACGGTTAAGTGAAGCAAAACGCCTTCCCCTGCCCCCCATTCCTATGAATCTGGCTTTTCTGCTCTGTTTTTGTCTTCTCTGCTTTCACACGTGTTCCTTTCACAGTTAACAGAAGGTTCTCTTACCTCTTCCTAACAAAGCTTACACCTTCATTTTCTGCCTGAAAGGAACCTTCCAAGCTCTAGACTCATTAGCAAAGCAAAGATAATCAATGCATGTATAACTCATTGAATAATCAATCCTTTCTCAGTTCAGTTTACCACCTCTGTTCATTTTCCTAGATCATCCTTAATACACCACTCCCTCGAGTTTTTCTTCCACATATTTTCACAATCTCATTATTATTCACATCATAATTTTGCATCACACATGCATGATAATAATAACAAACCATTTTCACTGAAGAAAAAGAGCATTGTCATTCATTCACAGCCAAGTTTCTGTTCTAGACCTATTTCTAGTGTTCTTGTGTGTCTAGCTAAGGGAGGGTCTAGCGCTAATGAAAATATCACTGATTTTTCATTAACAAAACCTTTGTGGACTTAGGTGGAGCGACTTATCCAAGAACGTGGCTGGGAGTTCATGTGGAATGAGCGTTTGGGATACATCTTGACCTGTCCATCTAACCTGGGCACTGGACTTCGGGCAGGAGTGCACATCAAACTGCCCCTGTTAAGCAAAGTAAAGGAGTTGTGGGTTTACAGAGGGGTGTGAGTAAGGAAGGGTGGGTTGTGGATGGGGAGGGAGTGGACCCTTTGGAAAGGCTAAAGGGTGAGGAGACTGGCCGGGCACAGTGGCTCATGCCTGCAATCACAACACTTGGGAGGCCAAGGCAGGCATATTACTTGAGCCCAGGAGTTCAAGACCAGCCAGGCAACCTGATGAAACCCCATTTCTCCTACAAATACAAAAATTAGCCAGGTGTGGTGGAGGCTGAGGTGAGAGGATCACTTAAGTCTAAGCCCAGGAAGTCAAGGCTGAAGTGAGCTGTGACCACTCCCAGCCTGGGTGACAGAAAGAAACCCTGTCTTTAAAAAAAAGGAAAAGGAGGCCGGGCACGGTGGCTCATGCCTGTAATTCCAGCACTTTGGGAGGCCGAGGCGGGTGGATCACGAGGTCAAGAGATCGAGACCATCCTGGTCAACATGGTGAAACCCCGTCTCTACTAAAAATACAAAAAATTAGCTGGGCATGGTGGTGCGTGCCTGTAATCCCAGCTACTCAGGAGGCTGAGGCAGGAGAATTGCCTGAACCCAGGAGGCGGAGGTTGTGGTGAACCGAGATCGCGCCATTGCACTCCAGCCTGGGTAACAAGAGCGAAACTCTGTCTAAAAAAAAAAAAAAAATGGAAAAGGGTCAGGAGACAGCTCTGAGCAGGTTTAGGGCTCTTTCAGGTAGGACTAGTCTCTGCCTCGATTGACCCTGCTCTCAATCCCTATCTCCTCTCTAGGATAGCCGCTTCCCAAAGATCCTGGAGAACCTAAGACTCCAAAAGCGTGGTACTGGAGGAGTGGACACCGCTGCCACAGGCGGTGTCTTTGACATTTCTAATTTGGACCGACTAGGCAAATCAGAGGTGAGATCCTAAGGGATTAGGGTGAGAAGCAGTATAGGTCTGTGGGGGCTGAAACATGGCAGTGAGTAAGCCTCAGGAATGTTAACAGAATCTGAAATGAAATTCAGATTGAGTGGGGAGGCAATTGGAAACGAGCAGGCAAGTCAGTCAGTGCTAAAGAAAAATTCAGATTGTAGAAAGCAGATATCAAGGATTAGTGTCGTTCAGGTGGAGCTGGTGCAACTGGTCATCGATGGAGTAAACTATTTGATTGACTGTGAGCGACGTCTGGAGAGAGGCCAGGATATCCGCATCCCCGCACCTCTCATCCATACCAAGCATTAACTCCCCATCGCCAGCTGATGACTCAGGATTCCCAGGAGTTCTGCTCATTCTAATGAGGGCTTATTCTACTTTGCTCCGGACCTGCCCCCGCATACCCTGCCTCCATCCTAGTAAAGACTCCTTGCTATATTGCAGTTGTCTGTGTTATTTCTAACGGTGGGGTGAGGAGGGAGCAGCCTTCAGGAAATGAAAAGAGGCAGTGGGATTATTTATGATGGAAAGAGACTCCAGTTATGGCATGCCAGGAACACTGATTCTCAGGTGGGTGGAAAGCATTAACATTTTACCCATATTCCTCATCAGCTTCTGAGAATAATCAGGATGCACTTCTATTTGCACTTTATTCTTTATGACTTAAGATTTTTCTCCCCACAGTCTCCTTCTACTCCTTCCACCTTCTAGGCTCATAGCAGGTGGCCAAGGAAGCTGATTGTCAATACCAGGGACCAGGAAGGTTGTGACCAGTCCCAGAGGCCCCAGGCTGTACTTCGACCTATAATAGACAGAGAATGGAAGTAATGTCACAACTCTGCTCTCCAGGAGCGTTGATACTTGGAAATTAGCTCTCTGCCTGTAGACTCCTTCACTCCAGGGATCTTCCTGGGGTCTGATTCTGGGTCAGGAGATGGAGGGTCAAACTGTGCAGCTGGGAACTCACCTTGCTGTTCTGGGCTCCCCTTCCCCTCATGCTGGGCCCATGCAACAGCTCGTCGCTGCTCAGGACTCAGAAAGGCCATTTGCTCAGGAGTGACAGCCACAGCCTGAGCACTGGTGAGACTGGACAGTTGGGTGGGACTAAACACCACCTAGGGGCAGGGGTAGGAATCAGTGCATGCATGTAGTCCCTGTTGGGCCCTGGCTCTCCTGTAGTCATCCCAGTCCATTAATACTTACAGCAAATTTAGGAGGAGGGATGACAGAAATGGCAAGAGGAGTAAGACCTTGGATCTGTCCCCGCAGCAGTGCTGAAAGAGCCAGGTCTGGGATCCCAGCTGTTGAAGCAAGTGGCATCCAAATATTGTCTTAGACTGACCTTCCTTCTCTTCAAACCTATAGACCTCTCTAACTACTCCCAAAATGCCCTACTGCAGACCTTCCCCAGTATGTCTCCAGCCCCTTACCTAAATACCTTCTCAGGCCCCCACCTAAGAATTGCAGGGCAGTTTTCCATTCAGTCCACCCATGGTATAGAAACCAAACCAACTTATACCAGCTTCCCACCTGCTATTGTGCCAATTTCAGTGAAGATCTCAGGCCCCCAGTTACTGATTGGGCCAAAGCCACCAGGCAGTACAAGGAGGTGGGCCAGAACCTCCAGTTGTTCCTCAGAGCACTGGAGATGCAGCATGCCCAGGAAGAGAGCTGCTTGGCTGCAGAAGAGTGGGAAGGAAGGAAGAAGAATTCAGCTTCAGCAAAAGGGTTGTAGTCATGAGACAAAGGAAGAGATGGCTTCAAATGAGTTCCCTTCTTCCATGGGACCACACCTTCATGACCCTTCTTTCCCCAGTTAAGTCCACATTTACCTCAATACCACCACCCTCAGCCCTTTCACAAGTGACCTAAACTCCCAACTGCTGATGTGCTGTAGCTCCTCTGGCCGCAGTCCACAGAGCGTATAACCCAGTGCTGTCAGATGAATGAAGTCCAAGTGGCTCACATGCCGACCACTCTGCCGTAGGAAACTGGAGACCACAACCCGGAGCTGGGGTGGGGGTTAGGGGCAGAGGGAAAGGAGAAAAGTATGGAGAATTAATGGACAGGGAAGTGATAGGTGTTGATGGGTTATATCCTGTTAATATTAAGACCTAAAGTGCCATGGGGAAGGTTGAGGATTCAAAAAAGAGAAGGAGAGAAAAGGAGGAGGCCTTTGGGAAAAAGAGGCAGGAGACAGTACTATGTGGCCAGGACCTCAGAGTGAATAAATCAGAGTCCTGAAGGTTACTAGCATGGGGTATTAAGAAAAGATAGAAAGAATGACCAGGTAGGGTCACAGGGAAAAATTCCTTGGGCTTCAGATGATCTAGACTGGCGTCCCCAAACTTTTTACACAGGGGGCCAGTTCACTGTCCCTCAGACCATTGGAGGGCCGCCACCTACTGTGCTCCTCTCACTGACCACCAATGAAAGAGGTGCCCCTTCCTGAAGTGTGGGGGGGGGCGGATAAATGGCCTCAGGGGGCCGCATGCGGCCCTCGGGCAGTAGTTTGGGGCCGCCTGATCTAGAGGGCTGGGTCCATGGGATGGGTGTTTGGGAAATGGTAGGAAGGATAAAAGGTATTACCTGGGTGGAGCTCCAACCATCTATCTGCCCCAGGGTGCTCAGCACTCCCCAGTCCACTAGAATCAGCTCCTGTAGTTCCCGATCTCCTAGACCTATTAAGAGCCGACCCAGCTGCAGGATCTGCTCAGGACGAAATCCCCGGGGGGGACCCCACAACTAGGAGAAAGAGAGGAACAGTGTGAGTGGAAAAGCAGTGGAATGGGAGTCAGAATGCTGGGCTTTAAGTCTTGCCTCTGCCCTTAGCTGTTATAACTCCAGGCAAGTCACTTGCCTTTTTGTTAATTTCCTCCACTACAGAATGAGGCAGTTGCCTTACAGTTCCTCTGACTAAGGAGTTTTGAAAGACATTAGAGTCAGTAGAAAAGAAGAGCAAACTAACTTTAGTCCAGGAGTTCTAAACTTTTATGTGCATCAGACACAGAGACACTTATTAAAATGTCTGAGGACTGGCACTGTGGCTCACACATGAAATCTTAGCACTTTGGGAGGCTGAGCTGGGAGTAATGCTTGAGCCCAGGAGTTTGAAACCATTCTGGGAAACATAGTGAAACCCCATCTCTACCAAAAATACAAAAATTAGTCGGGTGTGGTGGGATGCACCTGTAGTCCCAGCTACTTGAGAGGCTGAGGCAGGAGGATCGTTTGAGCCCAGGATGTAGAGGTTGCAGAGATCACACCACTGCACTCTAACCTGGGTGACAGAGTTTGTCTCCAAAAAAAAAAAAAAAAAAAAGATGTCTGGACACTTTCTCCCAGAGACTGACTGACCGATCGACTGATTTATTTATTTATTTATTTATTTATTTTTGAGACCGGGTCTTGCTCTGACACCCAGGCTGGTGTGCACTGGTGTGATCTCGGCTCATTGCACCTTCCACCTCCTAGGCTCAGGGGATTCTCCTACTCCAGCCTCCCCAGTAGCTGGAATTACAGGTGTGCACCACCACACCCAGCTAATTTTTTTTCTGTTTTTAGTAGAGACAGGGTTTCGCCATGTTGCCCTGGTCTCAGGGCAGGGTTTCGCCATGTTGTCTGGTCTCAAACTCCTGAGCTTAAGCAATCCACGTGCCTCAGCCTCCCAAAGTGCTGGGATTACAGGCATGAGCCATTGGTCCGGCTTCCCAGAGGTTTTTATTAAGTCTGTCTAGCATGGTAATCCAGCATCGGCATTAAAAACCTGTTCCCAGCCGGGCGTGGTGGCTCATGCCTGTAATCCCAGCAATTTGGGAGGCCAATCAAAAGGTCAGCAGTTCAACACCAGTCCTACCAGCATGGTGAAACCCTGTCTCTACTAAAAGTACAAAAAATTAGCTAGGTGTGGTGGTGCACGCCTGTAATCCCAGATACTCAGGAGGCTGAGGCAGGAGAATCATTTGAACCCAGGAGGCAGAGGTTGCAGTGAGCAGAGATCAAACCATTGCATTCCAGCCTGGGTGACAGAGTGAGACTCCATCTTAAAAAAAAAAAAAAAAAAAAAGCCGGGCGCGGTGGCTCAAGCCTGTAATCCCAGCACTTTGGGAGGCCGAGGCGGGTGGATCACGAGGTCGAGAGATCGAGACCATCCTGATCAACATGGTGAAACCCCGTCTCTACTAAAAATGCAAAAAATTAGCTGGGCATGGTGGCATGTGCCTGTAATCCCAGCTACTCAGGAGGCTGAGGCAGGAGAATTGCCTGAGCCCAGGAAGCGGAGGTTGCGGTAAGCCGAGATCGCGCCATTACACTCCAGCCTGGGTAACAAGGGCGAAACTCCATCTCAAAAAAAAAAAAAAAAACCTGTTCCATGCTTGCTTCAGCAGCATATATACAAAAAAAAAAATTGGAATGATAAAGAGATTAGCATGGGACCTGTGCAAGTATAACATGCAAATTCATGAAGCATGCCATAATTTTTTTAAGAAAGAAAAAAGAAAATAAAGGAAAAAGTTGGTTCCCTTGATGACTGTGATACGCATTAAAATTTGGTAATTACTGCTTTGTTCCTCTATTCATTGTACTGGCTCTCTTTCCTCAAGATTTATCTCCCCTTACCTCCTACTTGTGACCCAAATCTTTTAACTCTTTTATCTCCTGCTTCCCCTACCTCTCATCCAACTCTTCTTTCTCTTCGTGTCCCACATCACACCCAAACAACTTCCTCATGGCCGACCCCAGTTGGCTCTCCATCCCTAACCTGTTTTGCTTTGCCCATGGCTGCCCGCAGTTCCTCAGGCCCAAGTCCTGGGTCTCCGGCAAATAGTGTCAGGCAGTCCTCAAAGTCTGAGAGCTCCATCTCTGCAATCTGGGTGGCAGACCAGGCTGCTGGGAATGTCCCTCGTACATCTGCACAATTTGGCACAGGTTCTGAAGAAGGAAGGCAGGGCCAGGAGGTCAGTGTAGTATTAACATATGCCCAGAGAGATATCTGTAGATGGAATGACCCTTCCAACCTTTGGAGGATGGGGCACTGGGGGAAGTAGGGATCAAGGAATTATTACAGGGTAAGATTTATAGGGCTTAGAAGATAATAGAACAAGAAGTGATTGGACATGCCAAGTCCCTCGTTTTATAGATGGAAGACTAAGGATGTTGCCCAGGCATTTAATGGCAGAGCTGAATTCAAACCCAGTTCTTTAGCCTCACAATGCCTCCTTCAGAGCTTCTAGGGCTCTCCCCAGCAGAGAGCTCCACACTTAGCCAAGCTAGAGCTGAGTCAGCTGTTTTTATAGAGACAAGAGAGCAGGAAAATGGGAGTTGTGGGCTAAAAGAAAATTTAATAGTTTACAAACTCCCGGAGCTATAGAATTCTAGAACTAGAAGAGACTTGAAGATCATCACTCTAACCTCTAACCTTGCTTTATAAATTAGAAAACCC